CTGATAGTTTTCATTGTGTTCAGGTCTGAGTTTGCCCCGGGAGCTGGAGTGCTTGGGAGTTATTGTCCATGCCTCTGCTGGGCTTTAACACACACACACACACACACACACACACACACACACACACACACACAATTATAGCATCAGTATGTGGTCACTCCTGGAAACAAGCAGACAATAGCAGGGAAATGTTTTGGGTACGGTTCAGCTCACGTTCTGAAAGATGACTGTTTCCAAGTGCCCGCTGGTGACTCCGTGGGAGCTTTCATTAGTCGTGGCCTCGCTCGTAAAGTCAACATGATTAAGGAAGTCCACCACGACTTCTGTTACCATGACATCAGCAAAAAAAAACGTTGCAGGAGGATATCTGATATGTTTCTGTATCAGTGATTCCCAACAAAGAACACTTTCCCATGGGTTGCTCAAATTAACTTGAAAAAACAAACTTCAATTATTTTGGAAACATAACTCCATTGCATGAAAAAGCAGCAGAAAGTCTGGATGTATTATGTCTACTAATAAGCTGCAAGGTTAAAAAAGAAGGCTACACCAAGCAGTTCAGATAGGGAAACGTATTATCTTCATCGAGGAGAAAGTCTCTGCTGGTGGAACTCAGTCAGAGCAAAGTGGAACGCCATAGCATCAGGACAGAGTCAAAGGTCCTCACCTCCATTATTTCTCAGCTGCTGCATCTAGTGTGAAATGGTTCCCAAAAAAACAACAATCGGGCAGAAAACACAAAAGCGTGAACGAGCATGCTCCCAACTCCCCCATTCTAACGGGCATGTCTTTGGGCAGCGAGAGATCCAGAGCATTCACAAGACATGCAAACTCCCACAGAACGGCCCCAACATTCTGAACCAAGAACCTGACCACTAAATCCCCGTACAGTCCTAAGAAAACCTCCTGCATCATACAAACATTAACATCTAAAGTGTTGTCTAACTTCTGCCACATCAAAGGGTTGTAGCAAGAACGTGAACTCAACCAACTTTGTAAATTCATTTAAAGGAAGAATGTGCGACTTTTTGATCCAGTAGGTCGCCCTTGAGCTCCAGCATGAAACCAAAACAAACTTCACCAACCTCCCTTCACTCGCGTTCACATGAAGTAGTTTAGCGCAAGCGGCAGACAAACTTGTCCTCGGCTCGAGCTGCGATCACCTGTGTTCTGCATTGTTGTGTTAGCATGCTAATGTTAGCGCTCTTCAGTTAGCTCGTAGCTTCACATTGCATGTAAACTGACACAGAATGAGCGTGATCTAAAAACTCTTACTAACACCCAAATAATCAGTGAGTATGTTCTTCTTCTTCTCTCTAGTCCTTGACTAAAACAGCTTTTATACACAAGGGGAGGAGCCATCCGTCCCGTCCATGTAAACACGGATCTGACAACAACACAGCCAGCGGGACTCGAGCTTCTCACTCATTATAGACAGTCATGACTCAGAGAGACATTTACACAGGATAGACTGGATCTCTGATGTATTTACAGTTTGTATAACATGGCACACATTCTTAATTTTTGCATTCTTCATATGTGTTAAATAACACATTGCTCACAATCCATACAAGTGCCCAACACATTTGAGAACAGGAAGGGTGTTGTCAATTAAAGAGACGTTTACTCTCTAATTGTATTTATTTCTTTGGACAGCCTATAAGACGAATATCACCAGGGATAAATAAAGTAATCCAGGATTTGATTGAGCTCACTCCACATTGCTGTAGACGTACGTAAGACAAACAAGCTTGATATCTGATGATCTCAACCTTTCAGCATAACAAAAGAAGAAGCTCATGAAGTAGCTTAGCATAAACAAAGTCCTGAACCGAAGAAAAACATTATAAACCCCCTATCAGGAGCAGGTGGTCCACTTGTGTGATGTAAAAAAGACTTGAACACTCCCTTCTTTTTGAATCCAGTGGGAAAGACTTGTATTCGTTTGCTAAAGGATTTAAGCTATTAGATTTTCCACTCCATTAATTTTTTCATTATGGCACTTGGCTCGTGAGACTTTTGGACGGCAGGATTATGCTCCGCCTAAAAGCTATTTCTCACCAGTTCCAGGAGAAAATTAAAATCTGATTCAATGTAAAAAAAAAAAAAAAAAATGGTGGAAGTGCCTCCAGTACGGTCGGTCATCCAGCGTGACCTCAGACCCTCCTCTGTGAGTCAGCCCCCCGGCTCATTAAACGCTCACACCTATCAGGTCAAATAAAGAGCTCATGCATCGGGAAGAGGAGAAGCAAAAGAAACAAAACAAAGGAGAAGTTCTTGTTCAGGCCGGGCTAAACAAAAGCCGGGCAGGGATGATGTCGCTGGTTTTCCCCTTTCAAACACAAAGCCCAGTACAGTATATCATGGATTCCATGGGCCTGACTAAAACACTCCCGCCTCCTCCAGAGGACTCTCCCAACAACCCTGCCGTTTGTTGCTGTTGGGGGGGAAGTGATGTCAGAGAGTCACAATGGAAGGGAGGCAGCAGGAGGATCCTCGAAACCAGGCCCTGGCCTTTCCGATGCCGATGTGTGTGTGTGTGTGTGTGTGTGTGTGTGTGTGTGTGTGTGTGCAGAGAACAGACCGAGGGTGGTATGCTATTAGGCTCCCGTCTGTCTCTCTGTAATGCTGACTGATAGTTTTCTGCACAATAACGGCTATACATCGCTAGTTAAACCGTCAGTGTGTGTGTGTGTTTGTGCACTGTAATCTGCCTGTCAACACAGATTAATGAAAGTGTCTCATTTCCCTGTTAACTGCACTGACATTCCTGTGGCTCCACTTCTGTGAAGCTGCTGCAATCTTCGATTAGGGTTTCTGTGGTCGTGTCTTACTACCAGCATCATCCTGAACGGGGCCGATACTCACCCTGCTGCGGCCACCTAAAGGCCTTAATCGATGCGCTCTAAATAAATAGTTGGTCTGAGTTACTAAACCTCTTGACCGTGGTTATTCTGTCTCACAACATGCATGACATGCACCGATAACAAATATACGACCACAGAGCCAAGAAGAGGGGAAAGGATTTTTAAGACACACTAATCAAAATGATTTGAGCCACGCTCTGTTAACTTATTCTCAGAGGTTTACGGGAAGGAATGAAGCCAATCCCGGCTCACATTGGGTGAGAGGCAGAGTCCCCTCATAGACTGTATCAAACATGAACTCAAGGGATTCTGACCATTCTGATGAAGTGCTGTGAAGCCCATCAAAAGCTGTGACCCTTGATCTGACTCAAACTTTAAGCATAAGCCCTTAAGGAACTAAATTCATAAAAATAGTTCAACAAAGTGTCAACATGTGCACTGCACAGTAGCCAAATGAGCAATAGGACATTCCCAATTTATTATGAATTGTTTGAGCAGCTTCATACCCCTGTGCAGACCGAATGACACCCTTAACCGGAGATACAATTAAGGAATTTAATTTAACACTAAATTGTAGAATACACAAACAATCTCAGGATGACATAAAGATGTGTCTGTCTTTTTAGGAACTGGGAGTCGGAAATGCCAAACTTGCAATTCTTCTCAATGAACCGCTCTTCTTTCTCATCAAGAGGGGACAGAGATCTGAATCTCCAAACTTCCCCCACACATAGCATCTAATTTGAAGCCTGCTGGAAATGACTTCACTCAGTCAGGTCACCCACAAGCTCCCATGCCTCCATGTCCATGTATGGCTGGCTTGTTGTCTGTCAGAGGGCTTCCCGCTGCTCAAAAGATCAGAGATGTGCTTGTCAGACACATTCCTCGCCTCCTGTATCACTACTCAGCCTGCAATTAAGCATCCCCACCTCCTCCTCCTCCCTTTCTTCTTTCCCCTCCCTCCGTGTCAGACAGACACCTCCATTCATGCTCCATCAGAGAGCTGGATGCTGACAGGTACCAGCCACTGCTGCAAGAATTACCTAATTATATATTTGTGCATGTGTGGTGCGCTCTAATCACGCAGCAACAAAGGCTGTTTTGTGCAGCTGTATCCATGCACAACCAAAGACTGTAGCTCTGTTATTGAAACCAGATTTTAAAGAAACACATCTCTTGTTTCATTTGGGCACCTGCAGCACAGGTAACGGTTAGGGGGAGGAGCCACTTCTGCAGAAAGAGACGGGCGTTAGGAGGACTCACCAGCAGGCTGTAATCACAGGGACACTTCTCTTTCTGTGTATTAACACTCTCTGGGTTCTTAATAGTTTACAAGCAGAACAAAGAGACAGACCTTTCATCAAAGTGACACAGAGACAAATCCTGGAGCTGCTTCAAAGTGCTGAGAACAGTCATTAAAATGGCAAAGTTTTACTTCCAGGAAGACAACACCGGGTTGCAGAGATAACCTCCGGTGTTGAAAAATAAAGCCAATGCAGAAGTTCAAAGTCCTGCAGTTCCTCGAGTGTCCACTAGAGGCTGGTTGCAGAAGCACAGGAAGTCACATACACACCCATTCATAAAAGCCTGTTTTTACAGCAGAGATTAACATGTTTACAGCCTGGTTCAAAAAAACAAATAGGTCTGACTAGCTCATGTCTCGATCGACTCACACTGTACTGGGGGGGGGGGGTGAACGTTTTGATGACTCATCAGTTTTGATTTGATGAAGGATAAGAGTTATTCACAATAAAGCGCGTAGCTGACCTGACTGACAGGCGGGCGTGGTGTTTTTGGTGTGTGTGGACGCACAGCACAGAGGGAGTTCCACATACACACACAGCGCTGTGATCCCCGCTGGTTCACCTCTGTAACCAGTGGCGATTCTAGATTCTGTTGGGGCCCTAGGCAAAAATCAACTGGGGCGCTTGAACCAGCGTTCTGCAGGGGAGGGAGGTTTCCTACTGTCACTGCAACATTGGCAAATTTTCGGCTGCTTCTTTGGGGCCCCCTAATGGTCATCACTTCGTCCCACCATTACGCCTCCGTGACAGGGACCGTCTGAAGGGGGGCTCATGTAATCACACATAATTATTCAAAGATGTGGTCAGTCATTAAATGGAGACAAAAAAATAAGAGCACATTGAAAAAGCTTTATTGTCACACCGAGCTTTAACATAAACAAACTTTGAGTTTCTGACTCCAAGCTTTGAATGTATGAACTATTGAGCAATGCCACGAGGGAGAACAAGTGAACTCGCTGTTATATAACTTACATAACTTATTAAATATATTTATTTGGCAGGACTTTACAAGGAAAGCAGGAGAAATACAGAGGTTAGTGGAAGTGAGGTACATCTCTCTCTCTTTTCATTTTCTTCAATTATCCTGTGAGAGGCAGAAAGAAAAAAAAAAACACACACACTGGGAACAAGCAGAGCAAAAAAACAGATTTACAGTCTCTGCTTCTACATGGAGAGGGTTTTTTTCAGCTTCACTAACACAACAATAAAGCACTATAGGTTATTGAGGATGCACGGGAATGTAAAGTACACAGAAAGAAAGAAAACCTGAAGAGGGAAGCGGAGAGTGAAACAAAACATCCTACATGAACGACTTAACATTCACTGGGAGAGAGTTTGTACAACGTGATGCTCTCTCTGTCCGTCCAGGACCCTGAATACATTCCCATCATGTAAACCAGGATATGTGCTCCCTCTCACATCGCTCAGGTTAATACTTCACCGTCTTCTTTTCTACTATCACACTCAATAGTAGGCTTAACTTTAGTACTTTTTTAAAAAATAGTGGATTTTCTGATATATATATTATTTTTGCGTGTAAACAAATCATACAGGACGAACACCTGGACTATAATGTGACTGTCTGTGGAGCCTGCAGATGAAGCGGGTACAGGTGAGGCTCCTGCAGCGATACTGAGAGGCAGTGTGGATACAGACGAGTAACTGCGAGGTTAACTGACCCTTCACTAAGCCCCGCCCTCCTCCGGCTACGTCTGTCCGTCAAGCTTTTTAATCAGGCAATGTTTAATAATGACACTTTGCAGGTTTAACAAAATGCCCTTACCCCCCAACAAAAAGTCTTTGAATGCAATATTTTTATTTGTAGAACACAAACTGGCCGATTTAAAAAAAATATCTTCAGCTTCAGTCATTCAATTAAAAGTTAAGGAATCATGTGTCTGATGCCTGATATTTACCTGTGTTGTAGACTAAGTTAAAAGTCCCTTCCCTTCTCGATTTCGATTGGTCAGTGAGGGAGAAATGTTCTAAAAACTGGACTTCATTCAGCAACTAGCTGATGCTGAGTGTTTTTGCATCATGGACACTGACCTCTGAAACAAAAAAAGCCGTTTTTGGACTCAGGCTCTGAAGAGTGACAGACCGAGGGGGGGGGGGGGGTTCTTTGAAGGGTCAGTTAGTGAAGGCCAATACATTGAGATGAAGAAGAATGTAGAGCTTGAATCAAGATGAAGCCATGCAGGTGAACACCACCATCAACACTTGATAATAGATTATAATAAGAGATGTGAGGCTGTGGTATATTACAGTGTTCTGAGCTAACAGAAATCTGAGCAGCTTGCAGCATCGCGTCATCCTAAAGGTCCCTCATTTAACAAAGCAATAAATAAACAGAAACACCAAAATGTATCCCAATGATGGGATACATTTAGGGAGGAGTGTGAGTGTGTGTGTGTGTGTGTGTGTGTGTGTGTGTGTGTGTGTGTGTGTGTGTGGGGGGGGGGGTTAATGTGCATGTACGTTAAATGACTGCAGAGCCGGACGTGCATGCTGGGAGGAAATTCACAGGGGAGGAAATTCATGGCTGGAAATGCCCGTCTCTCCTCATGATAAATCACAAAAAAGTGCATCTCAGCAAGTCGCTGGTAGTGCTGTGCGCGTAGACACACACATAGGGGCTGGTGAGTAACAGACGAGGTGTGTGTGTATGTGTGGAAGTGTGTGTGTGGAAGTTGTGGTATTCTGGAGCTCTTCATTCCACAAGGTGACTGAGGAGTGTGGGAGTCTGACAAAATGTGTGAGTCCAGGGTTGAGCAATGCACACGCTTGTTTGGTTTGTGGTTCTGGAGGTGCAGACTGGAGCGGTGTCTTTAATTACTACAAGATCCACCATCTGCGTCACTGGATCTTCCCCCAAAAGAAACTGGACCACTGACAGAGATGACCCGAGGGCAAGCAGCGTCACCTTGTTTCGGCTACATTTGGCAACGTTGAACCAACTTTCATGGCTTTTCTTTCGCAGCTTTGAGCAGCATTTCACGTTTGATTAAAACAAACTCTACCTTCAAAAAAAAAGACTTTTTTTCTCTCCCGAGCACCCGAGTAAACATCACCCTTTTTTTAAATATTTTACTAAGTTTGACGACCGAGGAGATTGAGGCTAGGCAAGCGGAGATACAGTGTTCGATAAAACAGGAATACCGACACTGGTAAGAGGCAACGTCATGAAGCACTAGTTTTCATTCTAAAGCCAGAATAATGGCTTCTTTTTCTTTTGATCATCGATGCAAAATAACAGCAATTTACTGAAGATATTGGTTGTCAACTTCAACAATATTATGTCGATCTGTATGGCAGCATATGGGTCGGTCCAGTAACACCCGCACTAACTCGCTCAGCGCTCCAGAGAAACCTTCACTGGAACCAGATATGAATGAAACGCAGAGTGTTTTAATACAGTTATCAAATACTATGGGAGGATGTTATTGTGTAACAGCGTATCTTGGATCCCCTCTGATAACAAGAGGGTGTTGTCGGCTGATGTGTGCGCACAGTTGGTCTCTAAACATGTGGAAACGGCACCACGGAGGTGAGCTGAGGGTTTGTTATGACATCACCCGCCCAGCACGGCGACGGGGATTCCCTAACAGAAAACACATTCTCTCTCTCTCTATCTCTCTCTCCCTCCCTCGTTCGACTCACTGCGTCTCTGTCTGTCTGGAACAGACGGGGTGTGGATCTCTTTCTCCCTCTCTGTATCATCTCTGCGTTACTTTCTGGAACTCGAGCACAACGACAGCAAGGTGTGCGGCCTTCAAACAGACGAGTGGGCGGGCGGGAGTGACAACTCACTAAATCAACACGAATGATATCATCCTGATTAATTATAGAAACTGCAACAACAAAAGAGAAGGTGGAAAATAAAAATAAAACACAACAGAAGTAATCTTGGTCACAGCATGCAATGCAAAGCACACCGCCCACATTCATCAGAGCGAGATGACTTTATATGGTGCCCTCTAGAGGCTTGTGGAGTTTGCAAAGCTCTGTTTGATACTGAGGAGAGAAGAGGAGGGGTCCTAGATGTGCTCCAGGAGCCACTGGAAGAGCGGGGTGCGGTGAGGATCTCTGCCCGCCTGCAGTGCCTCCTCTCTGGACTGACTGTGTGTCTGACCGTCCTCGCTGTAACGCAGCAGCGTGTGCAGCAACTCTCCCACCCTCCACTTCCTCTCCCGAAGCCTCTGGATGACCGCCGGGAGCTGAAAGGACAAACAGTCATCTTTGGTGGAGATCATCTGACTTCTTTACGGCTCATCAATGCTAATTAGGTTAATTTAACCGGTTCACTGCCAAGACAGAGTTTTTTATTAGTTAGGAAACAAGATACACTTTGAGAAGTTGATTAATCCTTCAGGAAAAAAAAAATTATAAAGTGAGCTTACTATATGATCAGACATTAAGGAAACATGCTCTGTTGAAGTGCTGGCTTCTCTGACAACAATGCAGCAGTCAGTATGTCCTCCTTCAAACTTTAGATTCTGCTCCTGAATGCTCTGGATTTGTTTGAACCAGAGAAGGTAGGCGGTTTTAAGGCAGCCCCACACGGCCGTTTTGGACGCCCCTGGGTTTGCCAGATATGAGAGCAGTTATCAGATCAAACCAACAGGTGTTGCAGCGATGGAAGCGGGCAAGAGAACTGGTTCAGATAGAAGTGATTGTACCCGACCTAAAAAGCCTCTGCATGTTTCTAATAAGCTCCACGAGCAGAAACGTGCTCAAACTAGGATCAATATTGGAGATGCTTTTGAAAAATGGAGAGAGGTTAGAACGCAGAAAGGTTTACAGACCGATGCAGAGCTGGCTAAACACTGAAGCTTCAGTGTCCACCACATGGCGACCTGCGTGAGCATCGATTCTAGAGAGGAGGGGGGAGACAGCTCTCTACAATGTTTAGAATTCAGACTGCAGTACCCATTTTAAACACTAGGTGTCAGAGTTACATATTGCTCCTTTAAAAATAGGTAAAATAACGGTTGACAGTTTGCTTTAAGTCATGAATTAATGGTTAAAACAGATTGTGATGAAACATGAGTGGTGGTGTCGCTGCAGGGTGTCTTGAGTTCATCTGACGGGGATTCAGAGGTATGTTACAAACTAGGTTTACATGGTGACTATTTTTCCTTAATTCTTGCGTAAGATAATTATTTTGTCTCCACAGCAAAGTGAACTGTAGTGGAAACCAGGAGACCGCGATATAAGATCACTATCCTTTAACACCAACATCAACAAGCGCAGAATGAAAGACTTCTTTCATGGAGATATCTGACTCGGTTCAGGAATGAACGTGTGTTTAATCATAAACACAACATTGTGTGTCTACTTTAGGGGTAATTAGTGTGTGTGTGTGTGTGTGTGTGTGTGTGTGTGTGTGTGCAGACAATCACCTGCTGCAGCTCTCTCTCAGGGCTCAGCTGGATCAGGGGGATGTCGGCCATGGAGGCTGCCACCCACTGCAGCATGCTCCTGAGCTGGGGGTCCAGGGTCACGTGCCGAGGTCCGAGGAAATCCGAGTTCATTATGAGCAGGGCCGTCCTGGGAGTGTGCACCTGAGTCTGGTCCACACAGAGAGTCCCTGCAGCACACACACACACACACACACACGGATCATTCAAGGGGAATCATCTTCACATCTCTTTTCCCCTGACTTAACCTTTTAAATCACTGACCCTGCAGTATTTTTTTATACTTTACATAACGAGGCAAAGCTCAACATTTCAGTCACACGTGGATATTATTCATGCATCCTTCTCTACACTAAAACAAGCTAGCGAGCTAAGCTAAGTGACGAAAGCGAGTGCCTTTTAGAGACTTCCTCATCCATGTCCAAGCGGATGACAGAGAGGCCCAGGAGGAGCTGGAAAATGCCGCTGGGGAGGGGCAAGTCTGGGGAAACTTGCTTAGCCTGTTGCCATGGCACCATATCCTCGAGCCCCTTACTGTAATCAGTTTGTTATCTTCTACAGTAAATCTCAGAGAAAGAGGGATACCCCAATATGATATTTAAGAGTTGTTATATATGGTCTACATCCCCTTTTGCTCAGCCCCTCCCTGTGGAGCGAGTGTGTGAATGAGCGTTGGTGTGGCTGAATACGAGGGCGGTCATGTACACAGCACAGCCAGCAGGAGTCGAATGGCATCCGTTCTGAATCTCCACAAACACAAAGAGAGAGACCTCAAATTACCAGAGGGGCCTTTTCTTCCTCCACTAATCCTTCCGCTGTCCAAAAATGTGACATGCTAAAACTCTAGATTTGGGGTTTTTGTTTTGCTTGCCAAAATCGACATTTTAAGGAAAAGTCTTGTTCACAAAAGATTTTATTGGATTAGAAAACCTAGAATTACTACGGACTGCAGCTTAAGTCAAAAGGGACGTTTCAGGCGGTGAATATCCTTACCGCTGGATTCCTCTTTGACCTCCGCCTCCTTGTCTTCTGTGTTGTCACTGTGGGAGGAGAAACATCGCACAGGTTAGGGAGAGGACGGCTGCTGCTGCACTATGATTAAAGGAAAGAGAAGCAGTGCAGGCAAAGCGACGATTTAAGAAACGCTGCAAAGGTTTGGAGATTGCAGTTCGAACAAGAACAAGACAAAGTAGTGCATGCATGAATCCTGTGTTTCAACGCTGTTTGCTAGAGAGAGATCATATCAGGTAGATGATCACAGTTACTGTCAGGACAGATGTTTGGTTCCTGTCACCTTTTTAAAGGCCCCCAACGGTTTTGGGTGTGGCCTACACGGCTAATTCTCTTCTGTTTTATAATCCTTCATAGCCTCTGAGATCCTCCGGAGTTGGTTCTGTAAAGATGAACTGTCACATAAATAAGATTTTAATTGAACTGACTGCCTAAGGTTAAGACATTCATACCTGATGATACATTTATTCAGCGTTGCGCTTGGCTTTAAATTGAACAGATCTGAAATCTGAGGATTCTTTGTTCTGACATCTCTGACACATTTAACTGTTGCAGCATTTTAGTTTATTTTAAGATTTATTTTGGGGCTTTTTTTGTAGAGACAGGACAGAGGATGGAGTCAAAAAGAGAGAGAGAGAGAGAGAGAGAGAGAGAGAGAGAGAGAGAGAGAGAGAGAGAACGACATGTGGGAAAGGAGCCACAGGTCAGACCTGAACCCGGGATACCCGCCTGGTGGGCCACAGCCTCCTTACATGGGGCATGCGCACTAACCACTAGGACTGGACCCTAACCAGGCTACCAGACTCAAACTCCCGCATGGAGGACCATGGACTCCATACATGGGCACACTTGCTTACCACTAGGCTACCTGCGCCCCTTTTCAGCATATTTCTATTCTTGCTCGTTGCTTCCTGTTTGGAATTGATTTGACTGCTCGGCGTTATCGCACAGCTTCTTTAAATTAGCGTGCTTTGTTTTCTTTTCCTCTTTCTTCACTCCAAGCTACTGCGGCCGTGTGAACGATGCAACACAAGTCTGATTATTCTTATGACTCTGATCAAAAGGATTCTCAGACACGTTGAGGGAACAACCCCGCACATTTCCAGTCAACGTTTCTTTGATTATTCCAGTACATTGACTTTCCTGCCTCAACGTCTTTTGTCCGTTAAGACGGAGTGACTAAGAGCAAACGACTTTCCCCTCTCTGAAGATCTGCTCCATATCCATTCTGACAATTGTTCAAATATTTGCTGTGTGCTGTGCTGACACGGTAAACAGTCATTTCTGGGTTTTTATAAGATTGGTAATCTCCGTCTTGTTGACACACCGCACAGCGAGAGAGACTTGAACGAGCTCAACGACACATCGAGACAAAGGACGAGGCCTTTTTTAACGTCTTTATAAACGGGATCATAAAGCGAAACATCGCCACGTCGAGGCGGAGGTGAGGGAGATGAAGAACTGAGAACAAAGATGACAGCGTCAACTTTAAATCATGCAACAAGGGAAACTAGTTTAAATCAGTTTAGTCATCAAACCCACTGAGGTATTCTCTGAACGATTACCGTCGAGTCCGGAGTTTAAGTTGCACCGGTATCAAAACGCTGTCTCTTTTTGAAGGTCTCTTCAAAGTGTCTTCCTGCGTCACGATTTCAGAAAAGTCTATCAGGCTCCTCTGGTGACCTCGTGGTTACACGTCAGGCACCTGGAGCGTCTAATGGAGACTGTTGGGGGGGGGACTCACAGCCTCTTTCTGTTCAGGAGATCAACATGTGGACTCTTTACCTGCTGAGCTCAAACTGGATCCAGACTGAACTGAAACAGAGGACTTGGTGGTCTTGTGGTCATGTGACCCGGCTCTTCCTGTTTGACTTTATGTATCCTGTGCTGTTCTGTCTGTGTGTCGTTGTGCTTGTTGGGTTCTCTTGTTTGTTGAGTTTGATGTGCGTTAAAGACCCCCCCTAGAGACCGGCATCACAAACCAGCTTCGGCTATAACAGCTGTTAGTGTTTGCTGCGTACCTGTCCCTCTACAAACAAACAGGAAATCAATAAATATATATGGGACAACCTTCCTGTCTCAAAAAGAGGAAGTAACTAACCTACAAACCTGACTCTGTGAGACACCTGCCACCTATTGGTCAGCACTGATATCACAACCTGTGATGGTCTTCAGAGCTTAAAGACATAAGTGCTGTTATCTCACTGCCACATCAATATCTGTATGATATGATTGTGAAAGAAAGTGATTGGATAAAATAGGAAGAAATGTGTTTTTTTTTTTTTTGGCTAATTCTGTAACTACCTGAAAAATAAAACAACAGTAACTTTTCCACATTGTTGGAAGAGCTGCAACAATTTTTCAATTTTTCAGCTCTCAGCACTTTCATTATCACCGGAAATTTTAATCATCACCAGATAATTCTGAGTATTTGGACTTTTTGTTCTTGGATAAAAACTCACTTACTGGCTGACCTCTTGAAGGCCTTCAGATTTAGACATTTTCCTCCTTTCTTTTGTTTTATTCTGTGTGTTTCTGTTTGGTCTTTTTGTAATGATTTTGCTCATATGTTTGATCCCTGCCGTCTCTACTGTCCTCCCTCTCTGTTTTGTGCTGTCTTGATCGTGTAACGCTCGCCGCACCTTTTGGCAAACTGTTTGGTAGATCGACCTCACAAACGGCAGACTGCCCGTTCCTTTCTGCAGACTTCAGAGAGAGACGTTAAAGAACATTTGTCAAATTGAGTAAGACTTTAAAAGTTTCGCACCATTTCTGAACCCACTAGTTTAAGTTAATTTTAGGCGACTAGTAACGTCAACATGCAAAAAACTTTCCCATCCAGTGGGAAAGTTTTTGTCACCTCAATTTTTGTGTCATCACTGATCATGTTGTCTTGAAGCTTTGGGTGCATTGTCGGTGCGTTCACACGTCTGCGGTGAGCTCTGACACCGGAGAACTGTTTGTCAAAGAGAGCTGAGCTCATGCACTCTGATGGAAGTACAACTCAGAAAACATGGACGAGGACGACTTGTAAATGTGGCAGATTTTTGGATTTAACCTCCAACGATTGGCTTCAAGTGCATGTGGGTTAAACTGCGTCGGTACGGGCTGAAACAGAGGCTGCATGGATGATTTCATGTTCATTAATGGCTGCAGGTACTGATTAACTGTCTTCATGTTGCAGTTTGTCTCAGTTTGTAAGGGTCCATGACACGTTTAGACTAATATCTGAACCTATGGGTGGCTGTAACTTTATTAATCCCTGAGGGAAATTCTGGTTTTACACTCTGTTACTGAGAGACATGCTTCTCACACACATAGGCCCGAATCACACACATGCACAAACAGGACCTGTGGACATGCACTAGTGGAGAGATGTCAGAGAGTGGCTGCTATGCAGGGAGCGCATCAGAGAGGTTGGGGGTCAAGGGCACCTCAACAGTACTCAGGAAGTGACCTGGCACCTCTCCAGCCACCAGTCCAACTTCCATACTATGCACAGGGACTTGCATAGTATGCACTGTTCAACAGCGTTAAATAAAAGGATGACAACAACCACAAACATAAATGAAAATGATTTTATAAAGCATCAAAAGGACATGCATTGAAAGATCACATGCTGACATTAACATCCACAAGCTTCCAAGCCAAGCCAAGCGTTTCTACATTTACAGCTTCAGTGTGGTCATGCAAGGGGCTGGTGGTTCCCAGTATGAGACAAAGTATAAATCAAACTGCCACTGTGCAATCCTGCAAATCAATTTAACGTGATTAAAAAAAGAGAAATGTTTCAGTTTTGTGCAGAGATTTTTCTCTCAGGGATCTGTGGCACGCTTTCTGTTTGCCTCACTTTCACTTTGCCTCACTTTCACTTTGTCTCATCCTAGTTGAACCCCCCCACGTCTCACAGACGGTTAGCCGCGTCAAGCAGCTGCAGACCAACCTGTCAGAGGGAGAGAAGGACATGCGCTCCTCACACGCCTCCCCCCTCCAGGCCCAGACTGCTCCAGCTACTGCTGTTCCCATTGCTGCTGGAGAGAGAAGGCAGGTAACGCACCACTGTAACACTGCAGCGAACAGCAGAAAGTAACATTTAAAACATTTCATGTGTTCTGAACTTAATACAAGTATGATAACTTTAATAAGATTTGTTAACTTTTTCCTAATCATATATTTTAAGTTTTGAGAATGCAGTTATGCTTTAAACTTGATAAACAGGATGTCAAAGCTTTGTGGAATAGACTGAAGTTTTAAAACAGCTTTGGGAAGATTTAGAATTTCTTTATCTTTTAAAGGTCACATATTCTGCTAAATGAACGTCACCATGTTTTTTTTTAACATGTATGTCTCTAGTCTGTCTACAAATCCCCCAATGATGAGAAAAGTCCATCCTCTCCGTCTTTTGACTGCTCCACTTTTCAGAAGATGTGTGCTCAAACAGGCCGTTTGGAGATTTTCCCTTCATGACATCACAAAGGGCAGTAACCCCTCCCCCAGGTGGGTGACACTCCCACAGCTAGGTGTTTATTCTGCCCTCTGAGTCTGCCTTCTCTACCAGAGCAGTCATTTAAACTATTTCACAATTCTATTTTATCCCCACGATGGTTATTTGACTTTAACAAGCTGGCACAGAAACATGTTTGCTTGAGATGCATTTTTTATTTCATTTCCAACCTAAGTACTCTTAGTCAGGGTAACTTATTTTAATCAAAGCATTTTATTTTTCTCAACAAAGTAATTAATGTATAGCCCCTCCCTCACTTTATGAAATAACAATCCTGCATTTGGTGGAAACATTTTCTGTATATCAGAAAGACTAACTTTTGCTTTAGTGTTGAAGATATATTCCTCATGTGTCCTGTTTTAGGAAAATGGTGCTCGGAGTTTTGAACCCACATGTGTCTACATTTAATCTCTTCTTTATTTTATAAAAATGGTTCTTTGACACCGGATGTTCCAGGATGTTTTTAAACAGGTATTTATTCTTGTCCTGGCGGTGTTTATTGCTTTCTTTACTTTGTTTCTTTTTTAGCTAACTTTTGAACTTTTTGCTGTGGAGAACAAAGCTGTGGACGTAATAAGCACTTTATTCCCACTTGCTGTAATGACCTTATCTATCATGAAGCTTCAACAAACATGACTCAGATTGATGACCAATTCTGGCATTGGGAATAATCCTCTAAATGCCAGGTGACGTTCAAAACAGAGGCGGATGCACATTATTCCTCCTTGAATCCCACTGATTCACTTCTAATTTGTTGATAGAGACAATTTGTTGCCAAAGCCGTATAATGTGAGATCATTACGTTCTTGTCCTCACGTAATCCCTGCTAATGCTGCGGGTTCCACCAGGACAACCGGCTGGCAACAGCAGCACAACAATACACACACTCTCTGTGTAAATAGTCAATAATTAGCGTGCTGGCTGGAACCTGCACACTGTGGCGTGTAGGGAAGAACGTTTCTGAACGTTTCTAAAAATACCTCCTTTAATCTGCATCACCACAGCTGCAGCTTTCTCCCTGTGGTTTCACTAAATGACACCTGGTGAGGGCTTGTTCATTTAGTCCGTCATCATGCTCCGTGAGATAACAAACCCCCTGACGGTGATTCTTTTTTTCTTCCTTTCGTTGTTTTCCGTTCGCATAGCGGAGATGGTTTTTCTTAAGACGGTCTAATGAATTACACATGGTGGACTTTGTTCCTGCAGAAAGACCGCCTCAAGTGCAGAGAGCCGTCAAAGACACACCTTTAGAAAATATTATGATACATTAACTTGGCCCTCGTGGCTAAAATAACTAGCTGCTAACACATTGTGTTCTCTCACTACCTTGGGAAAGAATTTCAAATGTCGTCAGTTTCGCTTCCATAAAGATAACAGAGATTTCCAGAAATGTCAACAACCTGATTCCCAGACAGCGGAGACTTGTATGAGTCTATGTCCCTTAGAAGACAAGACAGCCAGATTCAAAAACGGGCTCCCACCCTCTTTTTCTTGATCCGATATCCATCAACGGAGAGAGAGGGCCAGCTATGTCACAACAACTAGATCGTCTTTATGTGGTGAAACTCAGAAAAAAAAAACCTTTGACAACATGCCCCACATATAATGCAACACAAATTGCATTCTGGCAGTAAAGCCTCAATGACCCAAACCAGAACCACACACTGTGACCTATGCTGACCTTTGGAAACCTCCTTTCAGGACTCAACCAGAGGAAACTCTGTTTATAGGGGGTCCAGCTATAGCCATGAAAGAGTCTTTTAAAAGTAACAAATTGAATCATGAATTATATTCTATGCTGTCTTGTAAAAGTATTTTGTGGTGGATCTTGTAAATATGTCATAGAAGGGATTTGCAGCTGCCACCAGTTGTTGCCATCATTTCCAAAAGCCAACCACCAAGCCGACATAGTTTGTGGTAAACAGCAGGAAATGTCATAAAACCTACCTAAAACCTGAGCCTCATTCCTGTTTGTAAAATCATCTGTGTACAAACCAACAGGAAAAATAAGCAAAAACCACTGAAATTTAAATTAGTCTATGTTTGAAAAAGCCACAGTCAGCGAACTCAAATAGTCAAGTCATAAATAAATGTTATTTTGCTAAGGTTTAGTATGATTCTGTGCAGAAAATTAAGAACAGAGTTCATATTGGTGTTATCAGTGTAACAGCACCCATGAGAGCATTTGCATGACCCTTAGGCTTCGTGTCCACCTAGCTTTTTCCTCTGGGCAGAAAAGCACTGGCTGTGTGACCGGGAGTGTTTGCATGTCGCGTGAGAAGAAAAGCTCTGCACATCCGTTCTGTAGCTATGACAACAGGCTGTTGACAACGGCCATTGTATGACCGACACTGTTCCTTTAAATTTTACTGTATGTTTTTTATTTTATTTATTTCCTGATCAGACATGGAGCAAAGAGGATGTGGGTACAAGAAATGATCGATAAGCAGCAAAATACAGGAATTGTACATTTTGAAAAAAAGCGGCTTGTAAAAAAAGTTGGGGGTGCTTTTTCTCCAGGGTGGACGCATGATGCTGAGAATGCTCTCCCTTCATTGAAAACAATTGAAATGTTGTAAACGCTAGATGGACACAGGGCCTAACATAACTTTATCAGACAAATTAAGTGCTCTAAAGATCGGAGGACATTTGAACTCTTATATGAGACAGTAGGTGGTTGTATACCTGTCACTGAGGTGGAGGAAGCTGCTGTTGTCGTCCAGGTGCTCATCCTCAAAGCTCAGGTTGGACCAGCTGCCTAGACTGTCATCTCCTACACTCAGCTGCTGGGACACCGACGACTCAGTGGCTTCCCTGCCTGGAAAGCTAAACGCACAGAGAGATGGAGGTAGAGAAGTTGTTTTTGTAGATGTATCGGAACAATCAGTATAAAGTCAAATAAACTAAGTGGATAAATGGTAAGGTAGGGATAGATCACACAAACATAAGCACTTGTATAAATCTTGGTGTGTACCTGTTGTTGGCAGTCTGGCAGACATTGGACAGGGCTGATGTCATGATCTCAGCAGTCAGGCTCTCAGCGAAGCTCGCTCCATCATGGCCGATGCCACTGTCCGCATTAAGGCTGGTGTTGCTAAGCTCACGTTTTGCAGTCTCCATTGCTATGGACACCATCCCCTCTGCAAATGCCGCCCTATGGTCCAGGTCAATGTGGATCTTGGGAATCTCCAAGCCAGAGAGACGCTCAGCCCTTGCCTCGAGTTCTGACCCCCTTTTCCTCCTCTGTAACACAGGCTGGTGGTGGTGCCGGCAAGGTTTGGTGCAGTATGGGCACTCGTGGATCAGGCAATACCGACATGTCCTTTCCACATGGGCTTGCCCCAGTGATGGTCCCTCAGACAACCTCTGGGTGTGGGAGTGTCGGTCATGTCCTTGGGTCATTGGATTCTCTCGGGATGAATATCCAACTGAGGCCATGCTCATCTGCAGAGTGTCATCAACTATTTTCCTGGCATAATGCTCAATAACCTGCATCACCCGACCCTTATAGCCCCCATCATACAGGCTTCCTGTACTATGATAATGATGCTTGCTTTTACCCTCCTTGGACAATAGGGGACAAGAGAAGGAGTTCCTGATGAGATCCTCTGCCATGTCTTCAAGTTTGGATTTCTTATAAAGACAGGAGTCAGTGAGAGACTTTGGCAGTCGCACAGAGGAACGATGCAGCTTATGTGTGACATCACAGGTGATGTTGTACGCTAAAGACTCTGCAAAGTTGACCAGATCCGAATACTCCGTCTGACTCTTCTCTTCAGGGTTGCTACAACTACACTGAGCGTCCTCGCCTGAAGGACGAACGACTGACTCAACTTTCTCTTTGGTCAACGAGGGCTCACTACTAGAAGTTTTCCATTCATCTGGAAGGGAGTGGGAGGAGTGAAGGCGGTTGGTAGAAGATCTCTTCTTGACCTTGCGACTTGCATGAGCCAAGCCAAGTTTAATGGAACGGTATGCCAAGCGACTTGCATACTGATCAAGGACCAGCTCCCTATTGCCTCCCTCCTTTTTCAGTACCCTGATGAGGTAGCCGGCATATTCATCAGTCACACTCTCACAGCTAGGATACTCTGAGGACATGCCAGAGCTGGAGCTGGAGATCATGCTTGAAGTGGATGTTGGAGACCGCAAGACTGAGGCTATCAAGTCATTAGACCATTGCTCAGCCAGCCTTCCTACCTTTGAGTTTATGTTCTGGTCAGTACTGGGTGGAGAAAGATGGCCGAGGTGGTGATGAGAACATTCAGAGTTAGATCTGTCAGAGCTATGTCTCCTGAGAGTTCTGTGATATGGACACTGCTGTGCAGAGCTCACCATCCTCTTCACATCATTAATGACCTCTCCTGCTACCTCCCCTGCATATACCCACAAGGTGTTCAGGGTCTGCTCTGAGAACTGTGCCACACTGTCTCTCCTTCTCTCACTGCCCTTACTCATTTCTCCATCCTCCACTGCCCCTTCCAGGTTGTCCATCTCTGTTGCCATAGAGACAATGTGACAAGCCAATCGCTCAGCGTAGTGAAGAGCTTCCTTGTTGGACATTCTGCGAGTCGACTGGGTTAGTTCATGACGGCCACGCTCTTTATCTAAAGTCCTGTCAGCGCCGCCAACACCAACCTCTTCTGCCACTTCTTCCTCCTCTTCTTCCTCATTTCCATCTGCCTCCTCAGAGAGAGACCTCATCAATTTGAGCATGAACTCATCCTTGTCTGCCTCATGGGGGATGTCTTTTGGGCCAGGGTCAGGCTCCAGCTGCTGGTGAGGGGTGGGCGGTGGAGTAGCAGGGGAAAATTCCTTAGCCAGCTTAGTTTTGAGCTTCTTAGAGAACTGTTTAATCTGTTTTTCCTTAGACACCTCACTGGGTTGCTGAGGGGTAGAAGGAGGAGGGCCAGGAGTCCCACCGGATTTTTGACCGGAACTGGGAGCTGAGTCATCCACAGGAACTGATATCCTCCTTTGTGCCATCATCTCTGTACCCGGTACATCCAGAGTATCCATCAGCACATGGTGGGCTTCAGCCACACCTCTGCTTCTGGGGTTATACTCACAGCTGACTCTCCCCTGACTTTGACAGCCTGTCTGAAAGGAAATGTGAGGAACGCTTAGGTCTGCTACTTGGTCAACAGGCACTCCTTTCCGAACATTCCCAGAATCTCTGCAGTCAAAGCTAAAACCCTCCCTTGCAACTCCCTGATTTGGAGGGGAATCTGGCTCCTCATAACTAATGTTTTCATGTTTAGAGGCAGAGTCCCGTCGGCTTCCCATTGTCTTTGTGAAAAAATCTGCACATTCACCAAAACTTTTTTTCATTTTAGAGGAAGTTATTAGTTCGCAGGCCTCAGTCACTATCATATCCACCATGTTGCCAGAGAAGTTTTGGAAGTTGGACTTTCCTTGGGAGGGGTCCCCTCCAGGAATGGGGGTTTGAGTTCCATGACTGTAAAGGTTAGTTTGAGTGAATGTAGCTGTGTCAGAGGAAGATACAGTGACCCTTGTGTGGCTCGATTGTTGGGTATCAGACAAGCTAGACGTATACTGACAGATCTCCTCAGGGTCCTGGAGTTGGTTGAGGGCTTGGCCTGCCTGAGGCACAGGAATACAGCTGGCCATGCCTGATACAGTGAACAGGGCTTTCTTCACTGTGCATGAAGCATCCTCTCCTGAGGTTCCTGCAGAGCTAGAACTTAACACCTGCTGGTTAGTAAAGGTGCTACTAGTGAGAGTGCTATTGTTCTCTGCATTGACGTAACAGACATTGTCCAGAGACACACTAATAGCTGCTTGGCTAGTGAAGGCAACATCAGCTTGAGAGAGCTCTATAAAGGCCTCCTGAATAACAGACTCAGACAAGTCTGAGGCGTATGAGGAAACAACCGCCTCCTCTTCCTCTTCTTCTTGCCCCTGGCCAAAGGACCAATCACTTGGGGTGCGAGGGGTCGAAGGATGGGAGAACTGACACACCTCCATTATGCCTTCAAACACCAGCTCTTCAGCCAGATCAGCAGCAAAACGTGTAACTGTGTTGTGGAAAATCTGCTTTTTCACTGTCAAGAACTCCTTCAGTGCCCCAGACACAGCCTCTCCAACCAGAAAACCGGCTAATCCATTGATAGCCCGTTCTTTCAACACATAAGCGTGGCGCATGCCTATCTCATGGAAGGCCATTTGGAACACAGAGGACGTGAGCCTGGCAGCGAGGTGACACAAGGTGGTGGTGCAAGAAGAAACACCTTTCTGAATATCTCTTAAGGCGCTTCCCAAGCTTATTTCCACCAGGTCAGTTGCAAACCTTTGAATACCATCTTTCAAAGACTGGGACTTCTTTTCTAGCTTGGCCACTGTTACAGTCTCTTGTATTTCTGAGAGCTTCATCACGAAGCCAGAAGGGTTCTGGAATTCCTTGTGACAGACACAGCTGAGATTTTTGTTGTCACTGATGTCAACAGCAGACTGGTAGCCACACACAGATCCAAGAATTTCTTTGGAAAGACTGTTGGCAAAGTCTGAGTAAGTCTTATACAGCGAGCAGAGACCCTGGGGTTTACGTAGCTCCGAGCTGTCCTGTCCTTCTTCATCTGTCTTCCAGAAGTATTCCAGAGGTCCACCGGAGTCCACCAAAGGGCTGAAGGCCGAGGAGCTGACAGGGCTGAAGAGTGGACCGCCATTCTCGTCAGAAGGGGTCTGCATTGGTCGGGGGGAGTCAGGAACCTCAGAGTGAGGTGCGTAAGGAGAGCCTGGTTTCAGAGGAGTAGGTTTTTTGACATTGGCTGGGAGAGTAGGCTGGTCAAAGCGATGAGGATTCATACCCTTGGTTGAGCAGCCCCTGGAAATATATTTACATGCTGACCCACTGGAGCTAGAATCTGATTTTTTCTGTGTTGTTGGGGCACTGATACCATCCAGAGGCAGCGTGAGAGTGCAGCTCTCAGAGCTCAGTTCCTCCAGGTCATCAAACTGATCAAAGCTGTCAAAGAATTCACTGACCTCTGAGTCTGAGTCTTCCACTCGCTCTCTGGGCCCCCCTGGCACCTGGGGGATGTCCAGCTTTGCCAGCAGGCTTTTCTGGTACCCCACCTCATCTAGGAAAATTATTGGGCTGGGGCTGGAGCAATCCGACTCTTCCGATTCACTGACATGAACCAAGGGCGACGGGAGACGAGCTCCAGGACTGCAGTAAGTCCACTGGGATTCCATGCCTGATGTTGACCTCTGTACTGTCACAGATACTTCGGGACCTGATTTATGTTTGGCAGAATACTTCTTTGAAGATGAGCCTATGATAACACGGGAGCCTGATAATTCCTTTTTCCTCTTGTGGGCAGGGACTGTCTGTGATGCAACATCGCGCTTTTTAAAATGGCGAAAGGAAGCTGCAGATGTGGAAGGAGACAGGGGAGACAACGGATTAAATACAAGAGGGGTTAAAGGGTAAATATTAGCAAAAATAATATACCAGAAAGCTCATAAACAAAAGCTGATGAATTGTGCATACATCTCGGAAAATATCTGAAAAAGAAAGTCCATATTTATTTTAAAGTATCTTAAAGTGCTCAATAGCAATAAACCTAAAAAGTTTCTACTCATGCTACATTAAAAATAGAATTTTGCATAAATGATGATGGTTGATTAAACAGAGATAAAGGGCACAATAAAGGTCTCCATTTTAGCTTTTATTCCAATGACGGAATCACATTTTTATCCACAAAATAGACCAGAGGCTACTACATGCCACTTAGCATTAGATGTTAAACCTACTGGAGGGATTGTCTCCAGTGTCATCCTCCTCCAGATGCTCCAGGGCTGTGACAAAGTCGTCCTCGATGGATGACACCGACTGGTTGGTGTCGTCCTCCTCAGGCTGACTGGGCTCAGCTGTGCCCCTCTGAAGAGCCTGAAGCTCCAGAGCATAGCGGACGCCTGCCATGTAGCATCCCAGCAAGCCCACCAAAGATGCTACACTGGCCTGAGGGTAGACACTAGTGCTGGGATTATGCCTCAGCACGCAAACAGCCTTTAACCAACACTGAAGGAGGAGGAGGTGATGAAGGAAAGATAAAAGAAAGAGAGGGAAGAGAGAGGTACTTGAAGTTAAGCTTGGTCCAACTTATTTAAGGAAATAAGGAAAGGAAATTACAGCTCACATCTTTAACCAGATCAGAGGGTATGACATGTCTAAGCATTTATGAACTGGATTCCCTTGGAACAAAACCAACTGATCTAAAAGACTTTGTATATAAGGCCAAATTCACACAGGAATCTTCTTATCCTAATCTGACCGGAGGGACGAGGAGGAGGAGGGCTGGAAATGTTTTGTTTTGTCTGAACTCTGATTGCAAGTCGATCTGTTGCATGCGAAGAACAGAGAATTACTCAGTGCACATCCAGTCTGCAATGCAGATAAGTGGGAGGTCTCACTGTCTGAAGCGGACGATAAAAACCACAGAGTGCGCTCCGGGGCCTGTGTGAACCCAAACACGGCAAACGGGACCAGGAAGGACAATCAGGGGCCGCAAAAACAAAATATCTGTCTGTCCAACCCACCTGCATTTTTTCAAAAACATGTGAGAGACTTGCTATGACTGGCTACATGGAGAACAGACAACAAAAATGAGGCAACTCAAACAGGGTCTGATTTTGACCAATGGCTATAAACTCTGTGAAAATGCATCACCCAATCACAGACGCTCCATGTTTACATAATCTATTAGGCCTGATTTGAAATAAAGATTAGGTTTACTTGAGCCTTCACACATTCTGCAGCAGAGAGGTACAGTATGGCTCCTGTGGCTCTTTTGGTAACCGTTTTGAACTCTTCCTCTGGATGTGTTGGCACCATCTCATTGTTGATTTGAAATCAAAACCGTCACATTAGGATCATAACTTAAGTCACCTTTAGGCTGTACAGACCTTAGGGACATGAAGCTTTTGGGAATATTTCTGAACAGAACAATGTGCGGACCTTTCCATTTCTTCGGCAGTTGTTATCTTTTTTCTCCTGCACCTGTATGCAATTTGCTCGGATGTGCGCACACTAGTCTTTATTCGCCTTTGAGAATATTCAGGGTGCTGGGCAGACTGAGGAAGAAGATAGGCTAGGAGATATGATAGGTACAAAGATGATCATCTGAAGATGACCTCTAAATGTCAAAATGTTGTGATTGTAATTAATAAAAACGGATTGTGCCGTTTGAGCGAGTGTGTGGCATATCTTCTTCCTCAATATTCCAAATACAGACATCATAATGAGCAAAAAGGCGACTGAAGACGGCGGTTAAAAAGTTAAAACTAGAATAATTAAATATTTTATATAACTTTTAAAGTGTACAGAAATGTTTTGACCTGCTTTCTACATTCAGAAAAACAACATATTGTTTAAGTTAGTTGAAAATAAATGTTTGCATGTATTTTTGGGAATTCTTCAAAGAAAATAACTTGGCTCTTTTTCTTCATTCTAGTTTTCTCTCCCCTCAACATGCAAAATTCCTTCACCTTGCAATGGTCTAGCACCTACCTGTGGCCCGGCGTCCTTGTAGTCTGCCAGCCTGCGGGAGTCTTTGAGCAGCAGGACCTCGTCGTTCTTCAGGCCGTGAACGTGGAGGGACCTGAGCAGCTCACACAGTCCTGCTGGAAGTGATGACAGAGCCTGGAGGAGAGCGAAACACAAAAGTACATTAGCTCGAAGATCAAACAGTAAATTACAAAACCTAACAATCCTCATCCTTTAAATCTCAAACATATGACATTAAGTTTATCACATGCACCTCTTACTTAGATCTGATAACTTACAGTCGAGGAGAGGGAATCTAAACTCTTATAGTGAGAACTTACCAGCTGGGTGACATCTTCTCCTTCACACTGACCAGGCAGACACACAAAATGAATCTGAAAGAGCACACAAGACAGTCAGTGTTCATATGTCTGATGCTAGCACGAGTTAGCTCGGCCTGTTTTTAAATGGGACAAACCTCTGTCAGTCTTGTAGCGTCTCTGGTTGGCAGCTCCAGGCCCACACTGCATAATTCCTTCCTGTTCCTGAAGAGGCTCTTCACACACTGCGCACCGGTGTCACGCACCGTCTGCAAACACACATGGCACTGTTTTTTAAGGCTAATTTTATATATTGCAGTGTCATGTTGTCATGTTGATGCACAGTGACAAAATCTAACACGAGATACAAAGTTTAGCGGTTCAGCAATAATTTGGATTTCACAAAAAATAAAACCCAGAGAATAAGAAAAACATCTCTTCTCTCCTTCTGCACACTTTCTAGCCGACCTCACTGCTAGACCTGACCTGGTATCGGATGTCTAATCATGATTTAGTTAGCGCATGTTTTCATTGATGCATCCGATGTATGAAACGTTGGCATGCTGAGAGAAAAAGCATCGTCTTTTGCAATGTGTTTATTGTATGTTAATATTAAGATGACTGTAACAATGTGACTACTTGTGCTGCAATCCTTTCAAAGTAAACAGGGTTCTATACAGAAGATTGTTGCAGAATAAAGTGCAGAGTCCCTGCAGTGCAGACAGACCTCTTTCCGAACTGTCGCCCTCGTCCTCAATGGGACTCCTCTAATACGTGCACACGCATCCATCGCAGCAGAGGTGGTTGACCGGCCGCTCACCTGGAGGAAAAGAAGGTGCCGGAGAGAGGGAAGAGTGGAAATGACAGCGTTATTGACGAGGCTCAAAGTCAAAGTGACCAGAGAGACTTAAAATATCAGATTCATATTGTTGCCTTCAGACCCACAGCAGAGTCTTTCGTCTGTGACTCACGAGGTGTAACAAAAACAGAAGTGTTCAATGTGTGACCTTTATTGTCCATACGTGCTACTCAACTGTGTCAACCCCAACCGCAGCAACCATGGCATAAAAGTGTTACAGCTATTAGAAGAAAAAAAAAAAGTGATGTCACACAACCGCTTTGTTTCCTGATGCACACCTATGTACCAAAATAAGGGGAAATTGTTTTAAAAAAGGGACACGTTACTGTCCCTGTGATATTCAGTAATTCAGAAAACCAAGAGGCTCCAGCCTGGGACTCTCACGACTCTGAACTTTTTTTTGCTCTACATTTTTCAGATTGTGCAGCTGACCCTGTAGACCAATGTCTCCTTCAAAGCCGTGTGAAACTAACATGAGTCAGGATCTCTAAAGAAGGCCTAGACTTGTCCTGGTGGTGAGGATAAGCTAGAGTAGGCCGAGCTTCTTTGATATTCTTTAAACAGTCAGGCCTGCATCAACGATCAAACAGAGGGGCAGGAGAACAGGGGTGTGTGCGCTGAGCAGGGGAAACACGCTCGGTAAGCAGCATGAGAGAGCGGCTAAAGGAGGCAAAATATTTACAGTGTACAAGAGGGAAAAGTTTCCCAAGAAATCCAAGCCTCTCCTTTGAGGTGCCGTCCAAAGCGGCTAGTTGAGTCTAGACCCGGGGCAGGCGGGCGGTCCTATTGATCAGCCCATCCTGCATCCTGAGAACCTTGAGGGGTAGACTGCATGCCACCGGCTTCCTTCTGCAGAACCAGGACCTCCGAGCTTCTCACGGGCGCTCTGGCGGGCTACAAAAACAACACAGCCAGCCACCGCTGCTGACCTCAAGTATGCAATCACAAGCAAAGCAGGAACAATGATGACTGTTATCTCTTGAACAGAGCTGAACATTATTAAAATAGTTGGTAAACCAGCTCTTTAAGCCGGGGGATGTGTCATGCTTGGTGAACAGAGTAAGCTCACAGTGAAGGGCTCGGGGATAAAAAAAGATACAAGAAAACTCTGAGCATGTTTTAGACTTCAGGTGGCTACAACTAGGGCCCGAGCGATACGGCAATATCGATATTAGGGAGGGGTAGACCTCAAACTAACAGTCATGATTATCCAAATGTATAACACAAAGTCATCATTATCACATTTCTTCTCACACCGCCGCAGCTCTAACTCGTGGTACAGTTCCAGATAATTACCCGACGAGGCCTGCATCATCAGCTTCTGCATCTTATGTGGTCAACACAATGCCTCAGGTACTCCGCATTAGTCATGTTATGGAAACACTGCAATTATGAGTATTTAAGTTTGTGCTTTAACAAAACCTCCAACGCTGATTCATAAAGACAATTTTCACCGTTTGGAGCCACAAGATGCAGTCGAAGGACTCTGAGGTGACTTAGTGATCATGTTGGAGGGCACAGGAAGAAGGGGAAAAAAAAAAAAACCACTGAGTCAAGGGCAGAAACTGTGTCGACTGAAATGGTGTCGAGTTGGGAGTCGATGTGGGAACATTTTCTGAGCAGGAGTGCAGGTAGCAGGAGGGACAGATCAACAGAGACTGGGAGAGAATGACTGGTCTCTTATCAGGCTCAGGTGACCACCGTGACGCTCTCAGGTGACAGACAAGCGAACACAACATTAAAAGGGAATATCCGCTATTATAAAAACCTCTATGAGCGAGGGCTGGATCCATAGAGAGACCATTTTTACGAGCTTGGAATAATTAGAAATAAATCAACAATGTAACTAGGCGGCGGTAAACTCAGTCTGTTAAGGACTTGGATTGGGAACCAGAGGGTCGCTGGCTCAAGTCCTGGAAATTGGTCTGGTAGCTGGAGAGGTTCCAGATCGCTTCCTGAGCATTGCAGAGGTGCCCTTGAGCAAGGCACTGACCCCCCCCCCCCACCCACCCACCACCTCAGGAGCTCTCCCTGTGTGCAGCCCCCCCTCACTCTGACATCTCTCCATCAGTGCATGTTCACAGGATCCTGTTTGTGCAATGTGTGTGTGCAGCATGTTCAACAACAGAGTGTAAACATTAAATTTCCCCTTGTGGGTTTAATAAAGTATCTCTTCTTCTTTTAACTGATCTGAAAGTATTCAAGTGAAACCAGTGAATCATGTGCAGGGTTTGTATCTATTGTAATAATCGCTGTTTGTAACACAACATTTGAAGTTGTCAAATATAGTATGCTAAAAAAAAATAACAGTATGTCCTTTTACATCTAGATTCAACGGCTCATCAGGAAATGGTGTTGCAAGAACCGATGTCAGAAGCAATTTAATGCAGACATCGAGTACAACTCAATACTGATCAGATAAGAGGGTTTTTTTTATTGGATAGAAGAAGTCACCTGTTGGACAAACTCTGACTTATTTTCATCGTCAAACATGAGAGGAAAAAGTCGACATGGTGGGAGTCCTACACCAAAATGAAGTCATTAAACTAATGTCGACACGGTATCGAATCGTCCCTTATTTTAAGGATGTAAACATTCATCGAGAAATGCTGCAAGAAGACAGGGAACTACACAAACAGCACGACCAACATGATGCAGCATTTAATCCCACCACAATTAAAAGGCCAAACCACACTGACAAGCGGGGTTTGCAGCCCCTGAAGGAATCTTTTTCACTCATCAGAATCGTATCTTTGAAAACCCAGTATCGTGAATCGTATCGTGAGTTGATTAAATTGTTACATCTCTACTTATTTTCCCAATCGGTGCATCTCTAAAAAAAAATAAAAAAAAAAAAATAAGCCATTTCCTGCATAAAATAATAAAATCACCACTAAAATGCCTGCAAAGAAAAAAGAAAACTGATACCTGAATCAGTTTTCATCATAGTAAATGTCACAAGAGTCCTTGTTGCTATTGACAACGTCATGTGAAAAGCTGCAGCTGCATGCTTATCCTCTACATTTCAGTGTTTGTTTACCATTTTAAGGCAACTGAAAACCAGACAACCTTTTCTTTCAGATGGACAGCTTTATGGGGCTGGTACCCGCGGCAGAGGCAGAGGCAGAGGCAGAAGCAGAGGCAGAGGCAGAAGCAGAAGCAGAAGCAGGCCACAGACTGGATGCTGATGTTGATTCACGACTCAATGCAATCATTTCCGAAACAGAGCCACTGTTAGCTAACTGGCTAGTGGCAGCAGACATTAAAAAAAAACGAAAAAAACGAGCATCTCATTTCATAACAACGCGTCTGAAAACAGTCGACGTCGGTAAACGAAATCCTCCACCTCGATAGTTGATATGCTGTCAATCACAGGGCTAACAGCAGCGGAACCAGGCCGCGGGGCTGCTCGATCTGTGATGTCACCTTATTGTCGTGAATTAGCATCTAGCCGACAAGCTTAACACATTAAGGTAGATTAAAATACGACAAATATCAATATGTAGTCATTTTCAGTGTATTCCAAACACATTTGTTCCCCTTTATAGAGTCATTTTTACCTCCCAGCTCAGTGTCGGACTCCAGCAGCGATGACGGTAGCCGCTGTGTTTGATGAGAAGTCCGAGAACGATTCGTCCGTTTGGAACAACTCTTCTAGTCTGTTGGGGCCCTAGTCAAAAAAAATTCCTTTGGGGGCCCCTACAAACAGACAATTATGCTCTCAGCGTTTTAGCCTACTCCTCTTTTTTCGATAATTCTTATTCATTTTCCTTCGGTGACTTTCATTGACAAACGTTTTCACAGGAATATTGCATGTGACCCTTAGCAGAGCAGCTGGAGTCAAAGGGCCTCATTCACTAACAATGCGTACACACAAATATGTGCTTAAACCGTGCGTGAGCGTTTGAAGCACAAATCTGGGATTCATCAATATATCCTGACTTGAATTTATTCTTACGCTGCGAACAAAAATAGAACTTCCTCAGATCATGCGTACGCACAAAGGATGGACCAGCTTTCTCAGAAAATGTTAACACACACTCTTTTAACTAAATGCATGACATATTAAAAAAAATGTTGAATGTTGAAAAGACAAGCATTAAAAAATGTGAATTAACTAATGCATTGACTAAATGTATTAAATAATCATGAAATATTCGCCTTATCATCCTTTAATCTAAAATCTTAAATCTAATCGTCGACCTCTCCCACTAATATTGCCATGAAATATCGCATTTGTAACCAAAAACCAGCTGATTAATTGGAGCCTATTTAAGAGCATGCAGGGAACATTCATGATTATGATTTACGTCTAAGAGAGTTTAAAGATCTAGCCTTGCTGAAGCAAATTGCAGCCGGTGCCTTCAGAAGAGAGAGCATCAGACCATCAAAACACGTTTGAAGAGTGTGACGAATGACTGATCAGCTGATTCCGACTGCCAATGCACGTACTGCTGCAACTATGTAATTCACTGTAACGCATCTAAACCGCAGTAATCTAAGTGTCTCCACCACACCGCTCTCGTCCTGTCACCAATCCGATGTCCTTATATTGAGAGATGGGTGTGGTAGTATGCTGATTGCAGGCTGTGGGCACTCATCTGACGATTTAGAATTATTCTGATTCACTATCATACGCAACTTGGTGAGAACAAAATTGGCTGGTACGCAAGTGTCATGAAGCCGACGGTGATATGCACTTATTTTATGCGCAGAGTAAGAACATTTCTACGCACATATTAGTGAATGAGGCCCATTGTTGTCAGATAGGGCCCCCTTAGGGAGGTTTTCTACTGTCATTGCAACATTTGCAGATTTTGAGCCTCTGCTGTTGTTTAAAGTTCGCCAGCCCTCAGTGGGCCCTCTTTATGGGCCCAGGGCCCCAAGTTTGTCAGCCTTGCCTTTTGACAAGCAGTAGGCCTACCTCTGCAAGTGTGGGTTCCTAAAGCTGTCAATATAGTCAATATGCCATTTTGTAGGGTTGACGTGATTCTGAGTGAGCATGATCATCCCTATAAAGGTGGACTAATTTTATCGCACAATGCATTGTGAAAAGTAGTGCAAAACCATATTGGTTGTGTTCAAAATTACACTCATCACACACTGATCATCATCACAGCAATGACGTCATTATCGACAGCCAGAGAAGTCTCCAAAATGTTTGTCTTATCGTTCCAAATGAGTGCACCGTGAAGTCCACTAAGGAGTAGAGAGTCGGGAATGAGTGGGTGATTTTGGACTCAACCATGAAGTTTAATATCTTACTGTTATAATGACCAAAATATTTTTATTTAGTAGAAAGTCCAAAACGTTTGTATAGGCCTATTGCACTTGTACAAAAATAATTTAAGACAACAAACACAGCAGAGCACTAATATTATGCGTTTCATATTGTGTTACTTATAATAATGTTTTAGTGGTTCCAAACGTGTTTTAAGTTAATAAAGTAGGTCTACATGATGGTCAAGGCACACTTGCTCTTTAAGTAGGGTATAAACCTTTTTTTTTTCCCCCAAGTAGAGAAGTTCACTTTACAATCTTTTGGCCGATTTGATCGGATCTCAATGATGAAACGAACTCCCCACTTCCTGTGCGTTACAGTTCTTCCCATGAAAACAAGGGTGTTTGAGACATTAGCAATCGAACTCAGAGGAATCGATATGTGTCGCACTGTCCATTACGAACACAGAACAATCAAACTTCTAGAAAATACATAGAAACGCGAATTTAATATGGACAGTTCTGTTTCATTTTATCATTAAATATGAAAAAATAGTCACTCAAACACAAACTAACTCTTCTCCAGAGAAAATCTAGAGAGGTAACATGCTATTTGACTCGTGCTTCCTCTCGTCTTTTTATCTTTTTTTACGCTGAACATCCAACAACCCAGAGACAATCCAACACCAATGTATGACACTACTACTGTCTTGTTTATCTGTTACATGGCCGTATATAACATGAGCTTCTTCACAGATATCTTAGCTTATAGGCTTTGGTTACGGCTGAATGTTTGCTTGATGTTTGTCCTTCTGGCCTCAGTGCTTAAAGCTCTGTGCTGAGTTCATCTGAAGAGATGCTTTAGGATTTGGGGCTGCTGTGTGTTGCCTCTCAGTCAGGGATTGACTCTATTGGGTCAATTTGGGTGCTGTTGTTGAAGCCCTATCTTGTAACAGATGTCATCATAAAAAGCACAATAAATATAAATACAGGACATCAACGAATAGATGAATCACTACTGTTCAAAGAGTTGATTTACGGTAAAATTACAGATTTATAAAACCTTTAAAATAAATACAAGTGCAGGATAAAGCTACTCAGTAATGTGAGTAAATTGAATCCATTACTTCCCGTCCCTGTTATGAAGAAAATGTACTCATATCCAAAATGTGTCTAAGGAGGTTAAAGTTCTTCGACTTTAACGAGTTGAAAACCAAAAAGAAAAACACAGAAATTATTGAGTGAAATAAAATACAACACAAGTTTAAATACTTCTTTTAATAAAAGATGTGTTACACTGATGTAATAAATGTTAATATCTTGTTAAAAACATGTCGTAGGTTACATATAAAAACCTGATGACCATCTCCAACACTTGATTGAGTTTCTATGGTCAGCTGTTAAAAAAAGAAGAGATTTAAAAATCAAACCTCACAGATGGATTTCAGGAAGTTAAACTTAATTTCAGTCTTATGATTAGAATTAAAATCTGGAACAGTTTTTATATTGTTCTAAAAAGATGAGGTAAAGTGCAATGGAATAGAAGTAGTTCTTGCTGGGGCGCCGGTAGCCTGGTGTGTGTGTGCCCCATTTGCGGAGGCTGGGGATCATCGAAGTGGGCGGCCCTGGTTTGAATCCGATCAGTGGCGCCTTTATCCAGCATGTCATTCCCGCCCTCTCTCTTCCAGATTTCTGACTCTATTCACTGTCCTATCTCTCACATAAAGCCATTTAACATAGTTGTTACTTCCTTTTTTACTCTGAGAGAAACTTAAAGAGTTAACAACACAACGCCTTACAACTGACTGTAACTGTTTCATTTCCTTATCGACACAAATGTCTTCCCTTCTTTTATGGTCATGTAGGCCGACATTGTGTCTGTGTTAAAGGTCACATATTCTGATAAATTCACTTCTCCATGTGATGAGAAAAGTCCATCCTTTCCGTCTTTTCCCTGCTCCACTTTTCAGAAAATGTTTGCTCAAAAAGGCCGTTTGGAGATTTTCCCTTCATGACATCACAAAGGGCAGTAACCCCTCCCGCAGGTGGGTGACACGCCCACAGCTAGGTGTTTGTTCTGCCCTCTGAGTCTGCCTTCTCATCGTAAACAATAGGACATGGAGCGAGAAAGCCCGAGACACCCAAGGGGGCGTGGTCAGACACAGCTCAATTACATTTAAAGGTACGGACACAGAAACAGCCTGTTCTGAGCAGGGCTGAAATAGAGGGGTTTATAGGCATGATCAAATACAGGATCAGAGTGGATTTAGAACAAAGAAACTTCACACACATGTTTTGAGGAGCTCTGAGACTTATTTAAACTGATTAAGAGGAGGATAATATGTCACCTTTAAGTCCCAGTGTAGCTTTTCAACTTTTAATTCTTGAAACTTTAAAGATACGAGATACGTCCACTGCGTCACTCTGAATCTTCTCTTGAGAGTGAAACAAAACCAGAAGGAGACAGCACACACTGCATATGTATTTGGTTTTATTGAAGAAGAGAGATATGAATCGGTAACCTATTTTAAGGCACCTTCAAAATGTACAACAAAAAAGCTTGAACCATTTATTTATTCAGAATACAAAAATACACATCTCAGTGACTCCAAATCGTAATAAATAGTTAACCATGCATTCTAACCATAAAAAGGCACAGAAAACAGTCACTTAGTAGTCATAAAAATGAGCAACTACTTTACCAAAAAATCATCCAGATAGTAATACAGGTGACGACTGTAACATTATATTCCAAATGTGAAAACACAATACACATCATGTCATTAAACCTTAGGCAATAAATATGCAAATGTTGTTTATACCTACCTACATGTTCTTACAAATTAAACCTGTGCCATTGTAAACAGAATGTAAACAAATGAAACTCACTTTTCTCCCATCACGCTGGGAAAAATGTCAAAGACTTAATGTCATCCTGTCTTTTTTTTTTTTAAGTTTTTTTTTTTTTTTAAGAGATCCTCTCAAGGGTTTTGTTGGTTTGTTTTAGAAACCAGGCAGTTTGCAGCATTATTTACAGACCACTGGAGAAGGGAGAAAAAGGTGGCTACTTCCACTTTGTATGGAAAAGGTCAAGCAATCTCTCACCACAAGTCTGGAGGGCAAAGAAATAAAAATAAACGACTTGAGATTCAGAGAACCCGGCAGACACTTTGGACACACTGAGATTAGAAAATGCAGACGCACACAAAAATCAGGAAGAAAAAGAGTGACCTGATGTGAAAATAAACGCACGTGTGAGCTCTGCAGGGGCAAGGCGGCGCGCAGCACATCAACTACACGGCTGCGTTTAGAGCACACGCTCACAGAAAGGCTTCAACATGAAATGAGACTGAATAAACTTACAAAGGCAGCGTTTGAAGAGGAGGGATTAAAGAAGGAAAAAACGTCTACTATTAGTAAATTTCTGGTTTAAATATGTTCACACAATCTTTGTCTACGAGTTGCAGGACAGTAAGTGCATGCAGAATACTCTCCAGGATTGCAATTTAATTTGAAGGCTAATTAATTTTGGCACGCCATTGAGCAACTTTACATCGGAGCGTGTTGAATACAGCCGTGTTAACGGTAAAACAACTGGGTGCTGAATCCTGAAAAAAATTTCAAACAAGCAAACCAATGAGGACAGCACTCCTAAAGTGTATTTTGTACTCATTCAAAATAAGTACTAGTCCACTTCCTCTGCTGGGATGGACTTCCTGTGTATGTTTGAGAAGCCTTCCTGTTACACCCTGAAGAAGAGTGTCTGCTCGAAGCGTCCATCTGGCAAATAAAATACAGTTTTGGAGTGCTGTCCTTTTTGGTTTTCCTGTTTGAATACAGCAGTGTTACACGGCTGATTGTCGTCCTATGAGCTCCTGTACAATCATGCAGTTTGACACGGTTACTGTAACGATGTGAGATGTAATACATCGCCCCCTGGTGGGACGTTAGAGGCATTACATAACTGCTTTTAATTCAGTTACATTCGATTATAATTTAGGAAACTTTGGAGCATTTGTGCACTCATGTTCAGTCGATGATTTTTTTAAGGTAAATGTCAAAGGAAACCAGAACACTTAGAGAAAGAGAAAAGAGGCAGAATCCAAGCTAGAAATGATCTTCTAATGTCAGTAACACCTAAAAACATCTGATTAAATTAATTGGCAATGGTTTGGGTACAATTGTTGATATGGTAAAATATGCCACTGTTTGAGTAGACACACTCTAACACACACACAATACACACAACCACACAACAACAGTCATGTCTGCCCACTCTTCTCATTTCACCGACGCCGTCCTACTTTAGTGAATCGTCCTGGAAGCACAGAGGAGCAAAACTACAAACTAGTGAACCGCTGGAAGAAATTTGGAGTCGGTAAGAAAAAAGCAGTCTAACGGGTTTATCTTTTTAAAATCTATAACCCCTTAACCCCCCACCCCACCCCCCCAACCTCCAGAGAGCAGAACATGTACAAAACAATTCTTTCAATGTTAATTTTTCCCCTCACTGAGAAACATCATGTCAGAAAGCTGCAGCGGCAGTATCAAAACAAGAGATCAAATATTGCACCATCATTAGAATACAACAGCATCATCATGTACAAGAGATCCATCCAACGATACACAATTGTTATGGTGTAATATACACAATCAAATGTGTAAGCTGTCCACAATGCATGCCATGTCAGCCATCTACCAATGCATCAGACTACGACACTTACATTGTTTGCATACACTTGTTTACTGTATATACAGTGCGTATATATACGTACAAACTTAGCATCACATGTAGAAATATACCCTGTAATGCCGCCGCTCTTAAAAGAAATATTCTATCAACGTCTGGCTTTTAATTTGAAGGGAAAAAAGCTGCGCTTGAGCAATGTTTTGCAGGCTGCAGATCAACTGCTCTGTTCTGTATCTAAGTCCTATTTGTCTTTAGTGTTACATACGTTTAGCGTTAAAAAGACGAGCCATTATCTCCTATATCATGATATGAGTTTTAAACTTGCACAAAGCAAGAAGTAAAAAGTGCCTGTTAAGTATTCCTTAAAAAAAACTCAACAACCCTATAGTATAAAAAGTGGAATTGGATTTGAATCGTTTTTTCTGTGATGTCAGGAAAGTTCAGCTACTTTTAGCCGGCGCCTGATTGGGTCCGTACTTTGGGATGTAAACGGTGTTTTTGAGTTGCTTCATCCAGCAGCCATTAAAAACAGGCCGTGAAACAGTCCGTGAAACAGGCCGTGAAACAGTCCGTGAAACAGGCCGTGAAACAGGCCGTGAAACAACGTTTTCGGACCGCAGGAACTGTTGGAACCATCCCCCTTTTTTAAGTCATTCCGCACCGCAGGAACTATGAACTATTTAAGTTCCTAGAACTCGTTTAGAGGAACCTTTTTTTGGCTCCTGCTTCAGAGTCGGTACTCTCCCATCACCATGGAGGAGCGAATGCAGACAGATATGACGTGCTATGTCCACTAAAAGCTTTTGTTTTGTCACTGACGGATTAAGATTTTGACAAGATTACAGAAACAAACAAAGACACGAGAAATTTATTTCATCTAGAGAGCCGTCACATATGGTCGCTCTCTTCAAAGCCACCAGACTCCGTGGACAAAAACAGTCACCTTGCTGAACACCAGCATCCCTCTCATAACGTCTCTTTCTTCGGTTTTATTGTGAATTTTATGTGTGTGCAATAACATTTTGCATATTGTGATAACAATAGATATCTAGATAAAGGGATAAATTGTGGGATAAAGCGTGTATATTGGCTAAAACTCAGTTTCTATGTTTCTCTGCTGTTCTCCATGTTTTATGTGTGCCGATTGAGACATGAACTAATCAGACCTATTTGGTTTTTTGAACCAGGCTGTAAACATGTTAATCTCTGCTGTAAAAACAGGCTTTTTTAGAATGGGTGTGTATGTGACTTCCTGTGCTTCTGCAGCCAGCCTCTAGTGGACACTCGAGGAACTGCAGGATCGTACACTTCAGCATCGACTTCATTTTTCAACACCGGAGGTTGCTGCTTGGAGTAGAATAGCAACTTCCAGTGAGGTTGAATCACAGGTTTGTGAAGGGAGTCTGGTGGTTTGAAAGGATCGATGTCACAGCTGTTTGTGCTAAACGAAAGCATCTAACTCTTAAATCAGAAGGTTGATCGCTGTAGGGATCCTTACTGTCAGTTTGTCAGACACATGGGATACATTAGAAAAACCATCTGTACATCCGTGACAGAAACAACTTTTAGTGGACATGCTTTGATTCGGTGCACTTTCCCCGTGACTTACAAAACAGTTGTTACAAATACTTCTGCAGCTGCTGGCTGAAACAATCCTCTGGTGCAAAACTATAAGTCATTTACACCCCCTCAAATATGAAACGATAAATCCCAGATTTAAAAAAACACTCTAAATGACGTTCTTTAAATGAAAGGATTGAGATAAAGAGTTGCGGTCTGAACAGATAAATCATGTTTTCTTAGACATTCACTTAGGTACGGATTTTCACATCCACAAAGAACGTGTCAACTTACAGATATCAATTGATTAAAAACGTCTTATGATGTCTACCTATAAAGCACGTTTCACACCAAATGACTGAAAAATATGGCACTTGACACAAACCTTTGACACGTCATAATCATGCAAACGCAATAAATTAAAGCTAGAGGAAATCAGACCAAAAGGAGGATGCTTCAGTAGTAACATCGTAATACTTAAGTCATGTAAAACTTGTTCAAGTGTTATTTTGCACACACAAAATAAAAATAAAAAATCAAGACACTAATCATGCAGTTAAACATATTTAAAGTTGAGCAAGCATAGCATGCAACAGTGTCCCACTGTTTCCAGATGCACACGTCCCAGATCACCGTTTGAACCGGTCATTTTCATGCACCACCTCTCTACACGCTAACCCCACACTCATGGAAGTCCTGGTTTGCTACTGGTTTGTGATCACAACTCAGTCGAGTCAACAGTGTAGTTGGTTGCATACCTGATTGTGTGCTATGAATGGTTATTGACTCAGAAATGGCTTCTTTTTTTTTGTTGTTGTGAAGATCCATGACTTCCTTTTGCACTTCCGTCGGCTTTCTTCAAACAGTCGTTTTGGCACCAAAGAACAAACGAGCGTCAGCAGAGCCGTTCATTTCCAGCTCTCGTCGTCTCCTTCACTGCACACGGGGCTCCCAAACTGATGTGAGGAGGGGGGGGGGGGGGGTCTGATTCTCCTCTCCAAATGCGTCTGCATCTGGATTAGAGATCAACCATGGAGGCCTTGGCCAGGTCCTTAGTTCCCTGGAGAATTCTCTTCATATGACCCACTTTCGATATCCCCAGATCCTGAAGGGGTAGAAGATGACCGACACATTGAAAACACATTCAGAGAGAAGGTTCAGGACAAGTTCAGTGTTATAACCAGACATTGAGCTTTGGGATGATGCTTTGATCTGAAATGTTTTTATTGTAAGCATGCGGAGCTAAATGTTGAGTTATTACACTGAAACATGAATACAACTCCTGTGAGGAGTATCTTGTTATTATATATATTGTCGCCTCTATATGAGCTACAAAAGCAAACAAGACTATCAGCAACAACATTCATCATTTCTATAAAGTTGTTTTTAATGTCTGTGTGAACACTGCTGCAGAAACAGAGTTTATTTACATTTTCACAGCAAAGATCTACAGTGAGTGATTCAACTGACCGCTAACAGAGAGCAGGATCAGATCTGTTGATTGGGAAAAAAAAATTCTTAATCATGTAGAAGACAAAATAGCAAAGAGGTAAGGGGTACCACTTTGTCCACAGGGGGCGCCAAAAAAGTACGGACCTAAAGTTCCTCACAGGAGCTCTAAAGGACTAATTTGATCATTTATAATCAAACAGGAGAGCAGCACAGCAAATTCAATAAATGAGGTGACTGATCAGCTGTGAGACGATGGAATGAGGAACACATATAAAAGATGTATAGTGTTTAAGTGTGTGTGTGTGTGTGTGTGTGTTTGTTGACTGTGAAAGGAATAAATACACACCCAGGTCACTTCAAATATTTAATTGAACTATAACTTTGAATGATTGTGTGTCTGAAGCCGGGCGTTCACTGTTCTGTTTCAGACTGATTTAGATCAAATTTTTGTAGTCATACAATTGTTCTAGGATGCACGGTGGTGCAGTGGTTAGCGCTGTCCCCCCTCGGTGAGGAGGTTCCTGGTTTGAATCCCCGTCTTAAAAGTTACTCTGGACTCAAGATATCCACGTCGTAATCCGGCAGTTTTGGATCTGTAGCATGTAGCTCAAAGTGATGTCGCTCTGATTTTTGAGATTGTGCACATAACTCTCAGCTGCGTATTGAAGACCCCTTTGGCAACATTTAGAGGATGCTTCAGACCCCCCCCCCCCCCCTCGGCTCTGGACATGGTCACTGAAGGAGTCCAGAGGAAAGTCAGTGGAGGTGAGGCGGCAGGCAGCCACAGGAGGACTCCCTGATTTCAGACTCTGTCCACTGTCCTATCTCTTCAATAAAGGCCACAAAAAGCCCAAAACTGAACCTGTACCTTTCTGCAGCCACTTTCTCCCTTTTCTTTCTTACCTTAGCTCCACTGAACACACTGACTCCATTTTGCTTTTTTGGCTCTCTACAACCGGCCCAACACAGATTTTTTCATCTACTCCCACCAGCAACTCCCCCCCCCCCCCCGCCCACCCCGCCTCCACCTGTTTGATCCCCTCTGCAGCAGAGACAGTGTTAGTGGGTTAGCAGCGATCAGACGGAAGAAGCCAAGCAGAGCGATGCAGCAGCACGACAGGGTTACAGAGCATCAGAAGTACAGTCCATCAGGAGGGGGACAGAGAGAAAGAGTTGATTGTAAGGTTTCACACAGAGTCACTGAAGGGACTCAGGTGTGTGTGTGTGTGTGTTGTGTGTGTGTACCTTCAGGTCCCTCCTCTCCAGGTGCAGCAGCTCCGAGCCGCGGATGTCGTGCCGGATGAAGTTGTCTCTGTACTCCCCGAGACTCAGCTGTTCCAGCCAGACGCCCACTTCCTCTGTGCCCCATCTCTCCACTACACACAGTCACACACAGTCACACACACACACACATACACAAACACAAACACACAGGCATACACACACAGACACATGGAGCAGAGCAGAGAGAGGCTCAGGGCGCCTCACAGGTACACCAGAAACTCTCACACCGCACACAGCACACGTACATGAACACACAAAACGTACAAATGAGCACACGTTGTGTTGAATCATTGAAGGAAAGGAGATGGAGGAAAATATGGAAAGGAGGAGAGGAAAAAGGAGAGTAAATGGCAGCAGCTGGCGGAGGAGAAGGAGGAGGAGGGCGTTCCAGAGAGCATGCAGGTCATCCACCGATATGAGAACGCACAGAAAAAAAGTGTGGGGCAAAAGGAGGCGGTCTGCAGGGAATACAGCCCAACAAATGTGATGCGGATGGAAGGGCTTCCACTCCTAAACCTGCTCTGTTCTCACACTCCCACTAAGTCTGCATGCTCAGTCCACTGGGACTTTTCTACACTTAAGTTTATTGTGCAATGAAATCACTTTGGTCGGTGCCAGAATGAAAGAGATGATTTTCCTCGGTGCAGCCTTGTCCTTCTCATGACCGTGAGCCTTTTGATGTCATGTTGACGGCTGGATGAGAGCATGAATGGAGGGGTGGGGTGGAGGGGTTGCAGGTTGATGGGGTGGGGACAGACTGTGGGATGTAACACCTCAAACACACACCCATCCTCTGTGTTTCTTCATGTTGTGAGTGGATATTCTTTTTTTTTTAGGCGCTTAAACGTAAGTGGTCATTGTCGATAAATATATGAAGTTAGCATTAGCCACTAGCTAATCTCAGAGGCGTCACCAGAGAAACTAGTACATATTAAAAGTACAAGATGTAGTTGACCAGAAGAAATGATCGTTGTCGCTGCTAAGCTAAAGCTAAGATGCATACCGTCACTGACGTTGTTGAGATGATTTAATGCTGCCGTTCTTTCTACAAGTACGTGATTAGACTGCATCGTCCTCGCTGCAAAACAAGCCGCCATGGCTGCTTAATAAACCTCGGGGGCAGCATCCGGTCAAAGTGTTTTCACTGAAGTAACTTCTGTTTGAAGATCAAGCAGCCTGTCTGTTCATTCTGCTAACTACGAAGATCAAAGTGGGCACACCCCTACCTGACTGAGGGCTCGTCTTCTTGGCCGCCTTCTCCTTCTTGAACTTGGGCACTATGCGAAACATGCTGCTGCGACTGTTCCTCTTGCCGTAACCCAGAGAGTGGTCCTGGTACATAAGCACAGTCAACCTATAGCCTTTCATTTAGCTACTCAGCTCTGCGTTCACCTGGAGCCAGGTTATCGTAAACACATACAGAACACGTGTGCAGACTGCTCTGAGAGCGGGACAAATGTTGCTCCTTTAATCTTTAAAGAAACATGTGTATGCTTGTTGAGGACGCTCACCTCCTCGTCGTTGGGCTGCAGGATGTGATAGAGCCAGGGGATCTCTCCCAGTTTGCCCAGTTCCAGCTCCATACTCTGCAGAGCATTGGACAGCTGCTCCTCCTCGGGGGGGTCCAGTTGCTGCGAGGAGAAGGAAAAACAAAAACCCAGATCAGCTACAGGCAGAGCACAAAAGAAACATCCAAAGTGTGTTAAAATATGGATATACGCTTCATTTAAATAACTTTCATGTTTAAAAAAGTCAGCCACTCACCAGAGAGACTCGGCCCACCAGCAGGGACTCGGTCTCGTTGTACAGAGCCTTCACAGTGCTCGCCACCTCTATAGCCGTGTTTCTGGTCAGATTCTGGAAACGGGAGAGAAGAGTCATTTAATTCACACATTGCAGAAACATGCTCTTTTTGTAGAAGATGTAGATGTATGCCCAAGCTGCTCCAAATCAATCGCCCCATTAAGGAGTGATACAGCTGTTTGAATACGAAACAGGCTCATTAAAACTGGACGCTTCAAAAGTTTAATCAGCAGGAACATCCTTCACGATCACATCAACAATCAAAGTGTGTCAACGCGACGCAGCAGCTCTAGCACACTTTGATAGTGCACCTTCAAATTTGTTTTGAAAAGAGCAGTCAAAGGAGCGCAGCTTCAGGAAAGTCTAATATACTAGACTTTTAAAAAAACACCTCAATTATTATTTAATGCCGAGGTCAAAAATGATCTGCTCTGATTTTCTGAATCAATGATACTACTATCTTTTAATGCCAGACAAAGACAGAATATTCTTTTTTTCTCTCAAGTGGGTGCAGTATGCTTAACATGAGACATTTGGTGACCACTAGAGGGCGCTGTAGAGCTGCACAACAAGTGGGATAAACTGACTAAAAGATGAAGCAGTTGAAATTGTATTCAGCTGTAAAATACAGTGACACCTAAATGTTAAACCTTGACTATATAAATATATAGAGAAACATGTTCGTGTGACGTCTCTAAAGCTCACCTCGGGGAACTTGGGATGTGTTTTGTTGATGGCGTGGGATGCAGCGTTAACAGCATGAGCCAGCTCCTGCTCTAACAGCCCGTAGGTCTTTGCAGCCTCACAGATCCTGCAGTAAGACAGAGCAGAGTTAATGTACACAGGTCATGATAAAAAAAACAAAAAACATTTTGTTTCTGCAGAGATCTGTGAGACCTGTGTGTACCTTGTGATGAGCTCCTCTGCAGCACGGGCGCACATCTGCACCAGGCCGGCCTCCTCCTCTGTAGCCAGGTCCACGGACTGCTGCGGGTAGAGGTGAGGCCGCAGAGGAGGCTTGTCATACTTCAGCTTGTCCTCCCACGACTTCAGCGTGTTCTCGAACGCCTGCAGGGGGAGCCACAGCGTAAGAACAAAAACCATAATGCAATCCCCTGAAAGGCTTTGTGCAATTATCAGCATCCCCTCCCTCTCTCTCTCTCTCCCTCCCTCATCCTCACCCGGTCTCTGGTGAGCATCTGCGCTCTGTTCTTGTGCTGGATCTTGATGACTCCGGGTGGTTGGATCCAGGCCTCCCCGTCCACCTGAATGGGGACTCCCTCGTCGCCTAGGATGGTGATCTTCACTGTCCGACACTGACAGAAAACAGAGAGGGTAAAGCTCCGAGAAGTGGAGACTATTTGGCTCAAAGAATTTGGTCTGTTTTTTTTTTTTTACAACACGTCACATTAAAAGCCAACAAATCTCAATCGCATCAACAGTTCAGAGACAGTGCTGGCATGTACATAGAGGCCAATCACCCCCCACCTTTTCTGGACATGTCCAGCAATAACAAGGAAATGAGGAGGACGCAATTTGCTTGTGACTCTTTGGACATTAATGAACTTTTGACGGGCTATCTGGGAAATATTTCAACCTAAGGTGCCCCCACTGTGTGTCTTCTTCTTCTTCTCCTCCTTGTCTCTTCTTGAAAAAAGGAGACGGTACGGTTATCTTTGTATATTTTCCTCTGTGTGTCCCGTGTGTGTTGTCACCTGTGCTATGCGGTGGTGTTGCAGCTTGATGACTCTGGACACGGCCATCTGCATGCTCCCGAACACAGCCACCACCTCAAGGATCTTATCATCGAAGGAAGGAGCACAGAAGATCTGCAACACACCAGAATCACATTCTCAACCTGTGAGCATGGATTGTGTCAGGGATGAGGAACTCGTGATGACACAACCTTTTGAATTCTGATCTTTTCATTCCATTTGACAATGACAAAAAGACAAACAAAAACATCCCCAGCTTTATCCTTTAATGTAATTGTATCAGGGAGGATTTATTTGTGAGCTCATATCTCTGCATGTCGTCTTTATTTATTTATTTATTTATAAAAATCTCCGCTCAAATGAGACATTTGCTCTGAATCAGAAACAGACTGTCGTATTGATTTCTGCGCACAAACTGCCCGTGAAAAGGTCAAAGCAATGAGGAGTCAGCGTCTGCACGAGTAAGCAAAAAAAAATAATGAATGCAGGATAGGTGACATTTCAGCGAGACTACACTGTCAATCAGGAGATGTGTTGTGTGGGGCCTCGGCCACTAGGGGGCCACCGAAAATGCATTTAGTACAAGTTGTGTGCTGAATTTAGGGTGAAAGAACAGCTGCTAACACGTTGATCCAAGAGAAAAATAACATCCTTTACTTTATTGTAACGTTTTGAAACGGCTAATGAGGTTTTAAAATATCTTTTCAGATTAACTTGAACTCCGTGTGATAAAGAAATCAGCTGCAAAAAGTCTCAGACACACACAAAGTACTGCAGATCCTCACAAGCCAAAGAAAACACTTTGATTGTGAAGCATGCACGTCTGAAAGTTTAAAGTCCTCGCCTTGTTTCAGCTTCCTGCTCTCCAGTAAAGCAGTTACATAACGAGAAACGCACAAACTGTATGTGTGTGTCCAAGGGTAACCTCTGCAGGGGCTCACTAAGGGGTGTGTTGAGTTTGTGTGTGTGTGTGTGTGTCTGTGTGTGTGTGTGTGTGTGTGTGAGAGAGAGAGACTCTAATCCCTCTGCAGCCTTTGTGCTCTGAGCCTTAAACAAACAAGCAGAAATATCTCTGTGTCCATCCCTCCCCCTGCACCTCCAGGCCGTCAGGGTCCAGCTCGACCGGGGACCAGGGCCTCCTTTTTAAAGTTTTACACAAACTCAAACTAAAGAAGAAGAGCGGGAGAAAGAAAGTTAAGAGCTGTGGGCTTGTTTCAGACTTCAGCTTCCAGAAGAAAAAACTCCTCTTTTAAACTCCACAGGTGATCCCGGTCCTCTATCAAAGGCTCTTTCAGCCGGATGGATCACAACACGGAGGTCAGGAGGAATGTAGAAAATGTCAAAGTACTCACATCATCCTCCTTGGTGCCGCCCCAGAAGTTGGTCCCGCCCGCGTAGCTAGGAATGTTTAACACCGCGATCCCCTGAAGGCTGGGCAGCGGGATGTACTGACCGTCACACTGACAGAGATGAAAACAAAAGTTAGACTGGAGGCCGTTATGAAGGACGCAAGGAAGGTGTTTTTAACGTTTTATGCATAGGAATTCTATGATTCAGTCACAGATCATTCCCAGTCTTTTCAGGGGTTTAAAGTTACTGTTGTGCTTGAACTTTTTGGAGTGTTTAGAGAATAATTTGTGCTTTTTTTTCCACTCAAACTTTAACCTCAAATTTATGACACTTGCGTCAGGAGAGAGTGTTGGGATGACACCCTCTTCTAACGCACTCCACTCTTTTCACTAATTGGTTGGGCTTGCAGCTCTCTGATTTCCAGCAGATGTCTTTTCTTTTACATTTAGGACTTTTGGAAAACTCATACCAATTAGAGTCCAGCTTTGTTAATATGATTTAACCTTTCAGCAAGTTGTCCCTGCTGCCCACCCCTCACCTCGAGCTGGACCTTCTGCTCCAGGTTCTTGTAGGTTCTCTGCAGAAGCTCCTTCGTGCCCAGAACCCCGTACCACATCATGTTCTTGGTGCGACTCCTGTGTGGCGGGAAACAGAATTCAGGGTTTTATGGGGTCGTAATAAACTGCAAATGCTGACATCAGAGACTGAAGAGAATCTGTCCTCCTCTCCCTACTGAGCGTGCATTATAATATTCAAAGTCCCTGTTACCCTGTGACTAGGGAGAAGATTTATCAGCATCTATCGGCTAAAATGATGTAAAAGTGATGTAAAAAACATTACAAAATGAATAAATAACACAGAGACTATCTGTTGCTCGATGGCTGAGAATATTCCTCATGGTGGAGGAAACGTGTCTGACCTGCATTTCTCTGGATGCTCCTCCCGCTTGTTGTTGAACTCCAGCGAGATCTTTGCATCCAGGCCGATGCCGAAGTAGTTGTTCATCACGCACTTCTCCATGTAGCCCTCTCTGGGTGAAGACAGTCACAGATAAACGGTCAGTTAAGATGAAACTAAATATACACAAATATACTAAGTAAATAAAGGAACAGGCAGAGCGAGACACACAGAGGGGGAAACCTGCTCTTACAGTGAGTCGAGGTCGGGGTCGATGAAGGGCGTGGCACCAAAGGGGTCGATGTTAGCGAGCAGCATCTTGCTAATGATGGAGCTGCCGGCGATGGAGGCAGCCAGACCTGCTCGCAAACCTGCAAGTACAGAAAGGAGTCTGTCACAGGAGGCTGGAGGGTCCAAGCGATCCTGCTGTACAAGTCATCTTCAGCATTGACATACTATGTGTATGTGTGTGAGTGTGTGTGTGTGTGTGTGTGTGTGTGTGTGTGTGTGTGTGTTTACCAGGGCAGATGATGCGTGTGTTGAGCACAGGCAAGTTCTCCTTGCTGGTGGTGAAGGGGGTGATGGTGAAAGAGCCGCAGGACTGTGTGCTGCGGCTCACCCTCCTCTCCGTCAGAGAACAGGGACTCTTTGAAGCTGCACACACAGAGAGAGAGAGAGATAATTGCCATGCCTTTACGCTTCTCAAACATGTTCTTTAGGTCAGCAGATGACAACATGACATGACTTTTTAATGTGATAATACCTCCTATATCCACCAGGGGGCTGCTGTGAGTGAGCAGGAATGCTCACTGTTTGTGAGGAAAGCAAATGTTCCAGTCTGTAAACCTTTCTGCGTTCTAACCTCTCTCCATTTTTCAAAAGCATCTCCAATATTGATCCTAGTTTGAGCACGTTTCTGCTCGTGGAGCTTATTAGAAACATGCAGAGGCTTTTTAGGTCGGGTACAATCACTTCTATCTGAACCAGTTCTCTTGCCGGCTTCCATCGCTGCAACACCTGTTGGTTTTACCTGATAACTGCTCTCATATCTGGCAAACTGAGGGGCGTCCAAAACGGCCGTGTGGGGGGTGCCTTAAAACCGCCTACCTTCTCTGGTCCAATCAAATCCAGAGCATTCAGGACCAGAATCTAAAGTTAGAAGGAGGACAACGGCACCTGGTCTGATTGCGTTCCTGTGCATGAGCTGCGCCTGATTTTTCAGCCGAATCTCAAATGAAGAGAGTTTCAAAAAGACTCTGGTTGACTGTTCTGTGTGCTTAGTTAAAAGCTGTTACACAAGCACGCTCTCTCTTCTTTTTTTCGCTTTCAGCAGTTATGCATTTTTCCACGTGAATGCACAATGACAGAGTCTGAACATTACGTGTTAGCCACATAACAACTTTGCTCACGCTGACATCACGTGAATCCTCGGCGGGGCAGCAAATACATGCCGCCTTGGCACACTTAAGAAGGCTTTTACAACATTCACTGCTTCGGACCAAACCTGCGCGGAACAATCCTCTACTTTCCTCGGTGCGTTTTGTTGCTTTGTGTCCAGGTCAGGAAGGAGTGAGGACATGAGGAGAGGACACAAAGCAGAGGGTTTGACTGATACCTCCAGCTCTTCCAACTGGCTGGAAAATGTGTAGAAGGAAGGAAGCAGGGCCGTAATAAACAGGAAGAACTTCTACCCCAAAGACAATAACATATCCTGTGGCTGATGCAACACACACACTCACACAAGGCACATTAGACATTTACACCCAGAAACACACACCCACAAATGAACCTGCAGATGCATATAAACAGGCACAGACACACACACACACAGACTTTATAGCTGCCCGGGCCACCACACTCATTTATTATTAAAAAAGCTCTCCTTCGCCTCAGACGGTCGTGCACACTGGAGACGGAGAGATAAACGGCTCAAGCTGCTGCAGGAGGTGGAATAAGGCAGGAGTGCAGAGCTGCTCGGTGCACTCTCCACTCTAATCCTTCAGTTTATTTATGACAGGAAACATGATTTGCGTCAGCAGCGCTTTCTTTTCCATTAGCTATGTGTCTGGTTCTGTGTGGTGCAGAGAGTGACACATCCACAAGGGGGCGACACGGGAACTCCAGTAGGATGTCAAACAGCATCTCTGCACCTCTTTGATTCTTTAGTGTTTGAATAAGACAGAATAACGGCCTTTACATGCTTGTCTATCCTCATGTTTCAATGCTCAGAGGAGAGAAAAAAAGTGTGTTTTCTAAAAATTGTTTTTCAGCATGTTGTCATTAATTAGATAAGATAACTCTGCCTTAAAAAAATGATTTTTTTGCCTGTGACTTCCTGTGTTCTTGCAGCCAGCCTCAAGCAGACACTCGATGAACTGCAGGATTTTGCGCTTCTGCATCGGCCACATTTTTCAACTTGGAGGTTGCCGCTTGGATGTGCGTCATAGTTTGTTAGCTCGATGCTAACACATAATGCACGTGAATAATGGGTTTGTAACTCCGGTCACAGATTAGAAACAGAGCATCCTGAGGCTGTTTGTGCTTACATGGCAGTGCTTCGAGCTCCTTCGTGTCCTCGTCCCTCTCGTTGTCTCGATTCTCCTCCTCGCTGTCCTTCCTGAACTCGATGGGAGACGGCAGCTCGGTGTCGTCTGTGTGCGAGTTCTGCTCGTCAACCACTAAAAAGAGAGGAAAGAAGGGAGATACAGGAAAGTTCAGTTACATCATGCCGTTATTTTTAGTGATGTCATTTACCAGAAGGTCCTTACGTTATTTCAAAATAAAAGCATGGTTGAATTCAAACAGAAAGTAATCTCATCTTATGCCAGCACAAAAAGATGTTTATCTGAGTTTGTCATGTAAAAGTGACTTATATAAATGTAATTAGATGTTTACGACTAAGATTGTGCACTTCCATAGCAACAGACAGAATACCTGAGTGATTTATGACTTTTCCAAACTAAATCTGATCCTAGTACTTCATGAGAACATTTTAAGAAGTATGCCTTTCTTGACATGTTTTTGCTTTCCTTGTACAGAAAAGGTCGGTTAAGCTGCGACTCCGGTTACCTCTCTCGGCCTGCTCGATGATCTGCCTCACAGCCTTCTTCAGACTGTTGGCCCGGAGCATCAGCTGCTCCCTGCTTTTGAACAGCTGGTGCTGTGAGCGTCCTCCTCCTCCTCCTTTCTCCGTCTCCTCCTCCTCCAGCTTCTCCTTCAGCTCCGTCAGGCTCTCCTCGCTGGCCTCCTCCTCTTCCTCGTCCTCCTCCTCCTCCTGCTCCTCCTCCACTATAGGAGGGGTGGAGTGTGGAAGCGGGGGCAGAGCCTGGCACTCTGCGTTGAGGGTCTGCAGGAGCGAGTCCATCTTCTCGTTCAGGATGGCACACTGAGCAGAGAGGAGGCAGAGGGCGGGGAGTGAGGAGAAATTCAATAAGAAGGGAGCGGCCCTTCAGCACAGACGGATGATGGAGGTTGACTGAATCGTTTTGGAGACTTACTTTGAGAGACATGGTGTCGCACTCGTCCACGTTCTCCGTACTTTTCTCGTACACTTTCCCCACTTTGGCAACAAAATCCTTCACTGTTTCACACAGGATCCTAATACACAATAAGAAATGTTAACCACATGTATAATCATAACCTGCTGCCCTGTCTTTTTCACTGATCAGTATTTATCATTTACAACACAGCCTACACCTCTGCCTTTGACTCAATGCAGTAAAAGAGAAGTTTGATACAGTATTGACTGCAGGTGAAAGTCCTGGTCGGCAACAGAGGAGAAAACTCTGTTGATCCTTCTCCTGTGTTAATGACTAAAGAACAGACATGCCTGGCCCTAACCCTCTGCCGTACTTTCAAACCTACATATATGTAACCATCGTTTCAACACGACTTTAAAGACGCTTGTATTTCATATTTTTATGACGGTGCAACGTCAGTGAGGAAAGAGTAGAGTAGTTGAAATTCGCTGTGATGTAGTGCTGTAGTCAAGACCACACTAACAGAGACCAGAGTGCTCAGAGACTGAGACAAGACCAAGACATTTAGAGATTGAGACGAAGACATTTAGGGATCGATATCGAGTCAAGACCAAGACAGGGCGAGGCCAAGATAAGACCAAGACCATAAATATCAATGAGAAATCCTCATCCTGTGTGCAGGGGGCGTGTCACTCTCTTAGACCGTTACACCGGGAAGGTTTCGTCCGTAACCGAGGAAAAAAAAATCTAAATGACATGGAAAATATCCTATCAGTGGTGGTCTTGACCAGTCTTGATTTAAAATCTGTAGACCGAGTAAAAATGGTTTTGATTACGAGACAAGACCTTCAAAACAGATGGCAGATGGGTCTTTCATCCCATCTGCTGTCAGACTGTTTAATCGGACTCTTTAACAGCATCACCACTCATATCAATAATGCTACACACTGTGTGTGTTTTTTAATTATAAGTCTTTCCACAAGTGGAAATGCACATACCTGGTATTATTCTATTATTGTATTTTTTCATGTACAAATATTTGATTTTTATCTTTATTTTTAATAATTTTATCCATTTTTCCTGTTTTCTTGAGCTGCTGTAATACAAAAATGTCCCCCATGGGGGATCAATAAAGTTTATCTTTATCTTTATCTTAATCTTTAAAACGTGGTCTTGAGATGGGTCTGCAGACCAAGACCGATTTGGAGTACTACAACACTACTGTGATGCATATCTTTGCCAGGTTTCTGTAGCTGGTTATTTCCTCCTGTTATTGATTCTGGTCAGCTTGTTTGTGTTCGTGCTGGTTTTGTTAAAAGCTCTTACTTGGCAGAGGAGATGACCACAGAGTGCTGCTCTGAGTTTAGGATCTTTGTGAGGTGAGCAGCCACTGAGTCTTCATAGGCTGCGATGTGAAGCTGGAGAGAGAAAAAACACAAAGCATGACTTCAATACATGGACACTGTGTCAGTGAAACAGCATTAAACTAGAGTTCTCTTTTATTTGAAACTTCTCTCTTCTCAGTATTTGAAACATTGCAAAAATAAAGAAATGTATTCTATAAGAAAAACATGTTTTGCTGTGGGGGGAGGGGGGGGATTCCTTTTCCTTCTTCCAGTTGTGGACCTGATCTAAGGTGAAGCTGAATATAAACTGTCAAGCACTATTTCCAGGATATTTTCTCGGCCCCCCTCCTCCTCCTGTCGGCCTGTCTGGGAGCCCCGCTGGGTCCTGATTGTGTGTGCTGATGCATGTGAATATCTGTCAGCTCCTGTCGGTTACCTGGCAGTCGTCGGCTCCCTCAGGCGTGTTGGGGCAGCTGTGTTTGGGTGGGATCTTAATCTCGTAGGTCATGATGCTCCAGCGGTCCAACATCTTGGTGCTGGCCCTCTCCAGCTTCTCCAGGATCTGTGGTAGCTGGGTGTCATCGTCGCAGGACGGGCCCCATCCCAGCACCCGGGCCAGGTCGTTCCCTGTGCCCAGAGGCAAGACCCCCAGCTGGCACTGGAACACAGAGAGAGAGGCAGAAGGTTAACGTGGAGGCAGGAATACAGGCCGGCAGCGTGAGGTTTGTGTGTGTGTGTGTGTGTGTGTGCACGACTGTTATCTCGTGTGTCTTTATGTAAGCGAGCCAGGAGCAAAGGCACAACACTCAACTGACACAAAGGACAAAAGACACATTTTATCTTTATGAATCCGACTACCTCCAGATGACAAACTTCAAGCCAAAGCAGTAGCTCAAAATGTGCAAATTTTGCAATGACAGTAGGAGACCTCCCTAATGGGGCCCCATCTGACAGCAATCACTTGTTGTACTGCTAAGCATCCCATGTATTACGCCTGTAAAAAAAACAAAATTGCTCAATGAAAATCACTTAAGGATAAATAAGAGCTTTCTATCTGCGAGTGAAAAAAGAAAGAGGAAGAGCATCGGGACACTCATAGATATAAAAGTGTTTGGAGGGGCCCCCGATTCATTTTTGAAGAGGGCCCCGACAGACTCCAGAATCACCACTGGACATAAATAGATTCATCACCTCTGGATCGGGATAAGTATCATATCCCCAGAGTCTTACAAATCAACAGCTGACTTATGTTTATCTTGTTACCTGTTTATGAAGGTTGAGTTTGTCGATCTCCGAAAGGACCCAGCCCACACTCCCATCGCCTCCACACACCAGGATCCGGAAGTTATCAAACTTCTGAAAGAGGCGCAGACTGACAAAAACAAACACACATCAACACATGTTTACTTTTTCAGTGGGATCAGATTCTAACTGTGGAAGGAAGCTGCTTGGCGGATATGTAAAACGTTTGACTCTCATAGGATTCTGTTTTGTTCTCCTCACCCGAGATGAGGCCCCCCGTTGACCAGGTCAAAGACCTGAGCCGGGTTGAGGAGCTGCTTGAAGCGTCGCAGGAACTTCACTCCCTGGTTGTCTCCACTTTTGGAGTTGACAAAGACGAGTAGGGGGCTGGCACAGGACGGGGGGCAGGTGGCTTTCCAAAAGCCTGAGGAGAAATCAAAACAGAGGAGGAGAAAGTGAAAATCTGTTGATCTCTGAGCACCCAAAAACAAAGTGTACATCAAAAATATAATTAAATGGACTCCTTCCACAGGTAGAATCCAAAAGAAAATACTAGGGGCATGAATCAGAAAATGTGTGCTCAAACAGGCCGTTTGGAGATTTTCCCTTCATGACATCACAAAGGGCAGTAACCCCTCCCCCAGGTGGGTGACACTCCCACAGCTAGGTGTTTGTTCTGCCCTCTGAGTCTGCCTTCTCACCATAAACAATAGGGCATGGAGCGAGAAAGACCGAGCCGACCCAAGCCCTTCCAGAGAGGGGGCGTGGTCAGACACAGCTCATTTACATTTAAAGGTACAGACACAGAAACAGCCTGTTCTTAGCAGGGCTGAAATAGAGGGGTTTATAGGCATGATCAAATACAGGATCAGAGTGGATTTAGAACAAGAAACTTCACAGACATTTTTTGGGGGGCTCTGAGCATTATTTACACTGGTTGAAAAGGAGGAGAATATGTCCCTTTAATGTATTTTTACATACAATACACAATAAAGAACACATAGATTTTAAAGCCCCTGTAAAAAAAATTAGATTTAAAATTGGCTTGACTGGCTTGAAAAATCCTCTGTAAAGTCTAACTGTGTGAGACTGAGCGTCATAAAACACAAGAAATAACACACGGTGTCTTGTAGAGCACACACACACACACACACACACACACACACACACACACACACACACACACACACACACACACACACACACACACACACACACACACACACACACACACACACACACACACACACACACACACACACACACACATAATATGTCAATGCTGAAGATGACTTGTACAGGATCGCTTGGACCCTCCAGCCTCCTGTGACAGACTCCTTTCTGTACTTGCAGGTTTGCGAGCAGGTCTGGCAAGAGGTTTCTGTGCGCGCAGCAGAATCTGAACACCCCTCACTGTTGACAGCTTCATGCATACTAGAGCTTCAAAGACATGTGTGTGTGTGTGTGTGTGTGTGTGTGTTTGTGTATGCAGCGGTATACTGCTGGCACTCCCTCCTCTGCATCCTCCTTCTCTTCTTCCTCTCTCTATCTATCGCCCCTCTTCGATTTTCCTTTTTTCTGTGATCTTGTCAGAAAAGGATGAACTGAGGGAGGGGGGAGCTGAAGAAGGGGGGGGGGGGGGTCACATCGCACCAGCACGTGCTGCATCCCGCCTCCCAGCCAATTACAACCAAACTCCCCCGCTTCCCAGCATGCATTTGGGCAGAGGGGGTCCTGGAACGTGATGCAGATGCAGAAAAACAGAGAAATAAGGGATTTATTGTCTTTCTTTTCCCCATCTCCTATTTTCTGCTTGTGTCGTATTCTTCTTCCATTTACATCCGTCCTCCTTTTCTCTGCCTCTTTGTTTTAAATCCATCGACCAATTAGCCGCTGCCAGTTATTCATAGACCGAGTGCGCAGTGTGTGGATTGTATGAGTGAGACTGAGTAATCTAATTATACACGCTAATCTGAGTCTGACTCTCAGGTGCAAATCTTCATATGAAACCACACACACAAACACACACACCCACATGTATATATGTGAATGCATGTATGAAACAAAGAGTCTATGTTGAACAGAGAGCCTGCAGGGAGCCTCAGGGTGCTTTGCAGCCAGCTGCAGAGCTCTTCTTCTGTGGTGTCTGCATGTCCGTGTGCTCTCACACACCGTGACAGGATAAATATGTGTGTCTATTTTTAGAGATAGTTTGTAGGCAGCTAATCATAATTCTTCTCACACATTCTCGTCTGAAGATGCTCATCTGTTTGAAGCTCAGGAAGATGGGGAACGGTTTATTTTTAGCCTCCTCACTGTGCAAGAAAAAGAAAAACTAGAACGATGTCTCTCTCTCTTTTTTTTTCTCTCTCTCTTTCTCTCTTTCTCTCTCTCTCTCTCTTTGACAGTTTACTTCCTGGTCTATAAAAGACGTTAGTGAGGTCCTTTTTTTGATGATACAGAGGACATATTGTTTTCTAACCAACACATAAACTGATGAAAAATGAATAACTCAATTAAAATACCGTTTTCACAGGCAAGCGTGAAAAGTTCAAGAGAATTTCAGGAGGACTGCCTCTCAAATCCTCCTGACCTGGCTGTTCACACTTGCTCCTCATGGCAGGAGACTATCCCGGTCGGACAAGAGAGTATGTGGACGGGGTCTCCTGAGGTAAGACGAGACGTCAGCAGAACGACGCAGAAGTGGACGACGAAGCAGCAGAAGTCCTCTATACAACTATAATGAGAATATTTGTCTTTCTATCAATGCTACGTGTAGTTGAACAGAATCTCAATGTGAACTAAAGAGTGGAGAAGAACATACTGGAGAACAGGAAACATAATGCAGCAGGTTCATTAGAGCACGGAGATGGTAGAGGTGGCGTGCAGACAGTCTACGGTCGTGCAGCGATCACAGGGAGCATCTATGTTTTCCTTTTGTAAGTATAGTCAAGGGTGGATATCTCACTATGGGGGGGGGGGGGGGCAACTAACAGGATTTTTTTTAAAGAGCAATTCCTAAGGGGGACACCAAAGTTGCCATAAAAAGTGCTGTTCTATCAAGAAAGCCCGAACAAACTGGTATTAAATGTATGAGAAAGAGGAAACGCTGGCCAGGCAGGCATCTCCCTGCAGATAAAAGAACGTGTTTAACTCCAGACTGTGGTCTGTGGCTATTGCCAGTCTTATTTCAACAGCAGTTCCCCGTGTTTTAATGTTTTTGAGAATTTTAACACGTCCTGAATCTGCAGAGTGTTAGCGTTCTAAAGACACCTTATTTGTGCTTGTGGTCCAAACGGTTCAAGAACAGTGTTCACTTTCCTCGGGGTATGTTTGGAGGAAGTTCGCGATCATCACCAACTTGTGCCGCTCTGCTCCACAGAGACTCGCTGTAGTAGGTACATGCGCTGCAGTGTTTGGGGGGAGGATTGTCTATTTGTCTAGGATCGGGGGGTCCGGACCCCCGTGATTTGCGCCTATGAATATAGTGGAATACTAATTAACTGATAAGAGGTTTATCTATTTCCTTATGCATTTCGACAGATTTTGTCCTCCAATTTTCGACAGAAGGAACAAATAATAAGGTCCGGTGCAGAGATCGATTCTTCTCGAACAGACAATAACCAAATTGTGTTTTTCTTCTTCCTGTCCAGCTGTTCTCCTCTGCGTCATGGGAGAAGAAGTGTGAGTGATTAACAATGAGGCTGATTGGACACTGATGCATGAGTGTAAAATTAACCCCCCCCCCTCCCCCCTTACTCCTCCTCCATGTGACAAAGTGATAAAACATCAGCCCAACATAGGGGAGGAAATCTCTTTCACTCCTCTCTGAAATGAAACGACTGCTCACAGGTGATGTCTGACATCGACCTTTGACCCTCTGAGAGTCAGCATGATTGCATTGTGTCTGTGCGTGTGTGTGTGTGTGTGTAACCTTACCCATATCTCCCTCCACTTCTCTCTCTCTCTCGCTTCTTTCCCTTCTTGTATCCTTTTTGTCATGTATTTCGTATAGTTTTGTAATGTCTTCATATTCGCTGGTTGTAGTCTATGTCAGTTGATATTTCAGTATTTTGCAGTATGTGTTGTTTTTCTCTTTACTGTCCTTCTTCTCTGTTTTGTTTGTATGGTCTAGGACTTGTACTGATTTCACAATTGCACGATAAAAAAAAAAAAAAAAAATTCAAGAATCTGTCGCCTTGCCGACCTTAGCTGCACCTACCGTCTGAGTCGATGCTGTTGAGCGCGGTGGGGGGGATGATGGAGACTTTGCACTGACCGAGAGGACACTTTCGAGGGTACAGATCCATACAGGCTGTGTGCACCTACAACAGCAAAAACAACAACAACAACAATGAGGACAGGAAAAAACCATGAACAAAAATCAAAACAAGGTGTAAGACTACAGCCTCCGTTATTACGACATAAAGATATGAGGAACTTAAAGAAGCAGACTCATAAATAATGACACACCTTTTGAGAGGTTTGTTTATGTTATTTACATTTTAACATTTAGTGAAGAAAAGAAGCTGATTCAAACGGTCACTCTACAGTACCGTCGTTGAACAGACACGTTAAAGTCGTACACACACACACACACACACACACACATGAAACTAAAAGTTCTTACCATAGCTTTGCACCAGAGGCAGCGCCAGTCCTGCAGCCTGAGCACACTGCCGCACGTTTTATCACACACGGCACACTTGGCACTGACAGGCAGGTTACCTTCCAACCACTGATGAGGCATCGCGATCTGTGGGAACAACACACACACACACACACATTTCTTTATTCGATTAGTTAGCTTTTTTATATTTTTTACTTTCTCGCCCTCGATGACTTTCGGCTCTACGACCCTTTTCAGATATGTTCCCAAAAGTGCTGAAGTCTTTGTACATCAACATTGATTCTGCGCTGGTGTTTTCTATTGGTGTCCCAGTCTGTGAAGCACGGCACAGCGGGGAGCTCCACATACAGACACAGACACAGACACACACACACACACACACACAGACACACACAGCACACACACACACACACACACACAACACACACACACACACACACACACACACACACACACACACACACACACACACACACACACACACACACACACACAGTGCTGCTCTCCCTCGCTGGCTCAGTTAAGCCTCTGTAACGCCTCTGTTACTGCCTCTGAAGACGGGACAGAGGGGACGTCACTACATCCTCACATTACGCCTCTGCAACATTCAGATTAAAGGCGAATCATCACAGAGGCATAAATATCACGGCTTGAATATGGCTTAAATATGGCTTTTTTAAATAATAATTCTTTATTTATTTATCATACTATGCACTGGCAGAGCTAGTATTTTGTACTGTCATCAATGAGTAACAGCTACTTATGCACATGGACCATCCATAACACTTTTTTATCCTGGCTATGTATTGTGGGCTCATGTTTTTTGTATGGTGGGATATGTATGTATATATGTGTTGTGTTGTGTGTTTGTATGTATGCTGGCTGCTGGAACACCTACATTTCCCTGCTGGGATGAATAAAGTATATCTTATCTTATCTTAAATTTTCTTACAATTTCTGCTTGTTCCAAATGTCACATCTTAAGATAAAAAACATTGCATCGCTTACAGGTAAACAATTCAACACATTATTGGTGTGTTTCGCAGAATTTTCTAGTTTCTTTGCTTTGCCCAAACCTTAACCATGGAAAAACAACTTAACCAATCAGAAGTCGTTTTCATCCACGCACTCCTTTTTTCTAAAATTTTTGAGCGTTTTGTGCCTTTAATGGAGAGATAGGACAGTGGATAGAGTCCAAAATCAGGGAGAGAGAGAGAGTGGGGAATGACAAGCGGGAAAGGAGCAGGCCGGATTTGAACCTGGGCCGCCCGCTTGGGGGACCACAGCCTCCATACATGGGGCGCCCGCGCCAACCACTGCACCACCAGCGCCCCCCACCCACGCACTCCTGAAACAATCTAGATCATTTTATGTGGAAAAAATACTAAAGAGCCAGCCAGGAGAACCTCGGGGTGAGGTCAGAGTGAAAAATATGGCTGCTTGCGTTCACAAAAGCAGCTTCTTCTGCTTTTTTCAGTTTTTCAGGAGTTTTTCTAAAGAGTTTTCAGCGAGTGTGAAAGCGCCTAACAAACAAACTTTTGAGTTAAAGCTTCCTCATAAAGCTGAGACACCACTAACAGCCGTCACAGCCTTGTTATCACAGGGTGATGTTTAATGCATTACACTGAGTGCTTCAAATGGAAGGAAACAACTTGACGCTGTTCTAGGAATGAAGTCATGAGGGAATGGCATTAAAGAGAAAATTACATTTATGTTTTTCCCCCACTGTTTCTGAAGTGTTTGAATGTATAAATATATAAATAAAATATGATGTATGCTGCATGAATAGTGTCTTTACAGTAAAGAAACAGAAACAGAAACTCACCCCATCCTCGTCCTCGATGATATCCTTCCCTATGGAGGCCAGCGTGGTCCATTTACAGTTGTTAGTGGCTCTGACTGCACAGCGTTTGTGCGCTTTGAACTTGCACACTGAAAAACACAAACCAGTCGAAGCACACGTCAGCCTTAAACACATCAGAGGGAGAGAGTAAACTAATGTGTCAATATGAATATGGCCCTGCAGAACGGTATCTATTAGACTCTAGGAATCCTTCCCTAACCGTCTGATGGGAATGTAATGTGCGTCGCTGCCCAGGTAAAACCAGAGGTAATTTAGGAGGTCAGTTAAAAAGGCTTGCAGAATAATTACACCTGAAATACTTCACATCATGAATCTTGTTTTAGAAACATCTGAATCCACACTGAGTGGACACTGGTGCATGATGGGGAAACAGAACTTTAT